GTTCAGGGGTTTGTGTCTTTGCTTTGCCTCCAACTACCATGACCTATTTTTTGTAGGTTCGTATTGCAAGCCCTTATATGGAATGTATAGGGACCCCCAAAAAGTAGGGTTTGGGTCTTTGCTTTAGGGTTAAGAGTTGTTGCCGCTGCGTGAGATCCTTGGGTTCGGCGCGAAAGCCATTCCTCAAGCAGCTAGGGTTTAGGGTTTCGGGTTTAGGGTGTAGAATTTCGGGTTTAGGGTTTAGGGTTTCGGGTTTAGGGTGTAGAATTTCGGGTTTAGGGGTTAGGATTTCGGGTTTGGGGTTTAGGATTTCGGGTTTAGGGTTTAGGATTTCCGGTTTAGGGTTTGATGGTTCAGGGTTTATTGAATGCGTAGCAATTGAGGGTTCTTGGCGTTTTTTTGGGATGGTGAACGTGCCGCCTGGATGCTGTAACGTGCCACCTCATCACACCAGGCCCGCCTACGTGCCACCTCGTGTTCTAACGTGCCGCCCCAATCCCAACGTGCCGCATCAGCAGATTTCCGCCCGCAACGTCGTACTACGTGCCGAAAACAAAACGTCGAGGCGGAAGGCATTTATCTTAGAAGCCCGCAAATCTGCTTAGAACAGAATCCCTCGAAGCATCCCTCAAATACGTGCGTGCTCCCTCGAAACCCCAAGCCAACCGTAAAGCTACAGCCGAGTTCCGAAGCCTGAACCCGAAATCCTAAACCCTTTACTTGGAGGATCATGGGACTTAGTAAGTAAGGTTATAAGTAGCTTAATGGCGGTTATAATTAATTATAAGTATAGTTACCTTAAGAATAACCCTAGTTACTAAGTCCCGTGACCCTTCAAGTACCCATTCTGGTTCCTAAGAGGTTCCCTAATATACCTATATTTTTTGGGGGGGTTCCTTATCATAAATATAATATAATATACCCAGATCTTTCGAAACCCGATTCTATTTACTGTTCCATAGGGTTCCTTTAAAGCAAAAACCCAATAGTATTCGAGTAGGTAACCTTTAGCCTTTTTGGGGGTATAGTATATTCCTATATAATCCCTATATAACCAAAAAGGTTAGCCTGCAGTTCCCAATGATACCCGACGAGTAGGGGTTCAAATCATCCTGATGTATCGTTTCTGTTACTAAAGAGGAGCCGAAGTTCCAAAATCAGGAGGGCTTCCTTGGCTCAATGTGGGGATCCGAATGCTTACCAAGAGTATTCCTGAGGTTTCCTTATAATGACCTTACGATTAGTACATCCCCCAAGTCTCCTTTCCTTCGTAGCTCAGTGGATACACTTTACATTTTTTGGGATAATATTATTACCCACTATAAAACTGAAAGTGTACACTTTTTGGGGTCTTATGAACTCAGCAACTAAGTTTCTAATTCTGAAGGCACCTACATTCGGGACGAGAGCCCGAAGTTAGAGTGGTCCGTCGGCCTGTGCCTTGTGCCCAGAGAGCCCACAGCCCCACACTAAATCATCTTTGACCAGCCCAAAAAAGGCCCAGTAGCTGAGTGAGAACACTTTACACTTTTTGGGATAATGTGATCTCTTGTAGAACTGAATGTATACACGTTTTGGGGCTTACCAACTCGGCAACTAGGTGTAGGTTAGGCAAACTGTACACTGGGCTCTCTTGGAGACTCGTGTCAGATCAAACAAAAGCGCGTGCCTGCTGAGGATACGCAAGCTGGCGGGTCCAAAGCTCAGCTGGCCTTCTTTAAGGGTTTGGGGTGGCTGTTAGAGTGGAGAGCGGCCGGTGCGGAAAGCATCCGCGTGGACGCTGTTCCTTTGATTGCATTCTTGCTCGGGGCGGGGGCTCTCCCTGATACTTGACTCGTATCTTATGTCGAACTCTCTGAACAAAAACCTAGCAGTCCGGAGTAATTATCAGTATAGACCCAACCACCGCAAGCCTCGCTTGGAGCAAGCTAGGAGAGGTACCTTCAAAAAGGGATCATGCTTTTTTCTTGATAGGCATGCTACCCTAAACGCAACCACCAAACCCCTAAACCCTAAACCTTAAAGCCCTAGACTCCTAAGCCCTAAACTCCTAAACCCTAAACCCTAAGCCCAAAACCCTAAAACCCTAAACCACCAAACCCCTAAACCCTAAACCGCGCCGACACCTCAGAGCGAATTCTGGCTGCTGGCTCGGAGGCCTCAGGGGCTGAGCGAAAAGGCTCCCTAGCTCCTCGACTCCACTGACGCTTTAAGGGTTCTACAGCAAACCCCATAAAGTTGGAACTGGGTTCCTTTAAGGGGTCTATCATAAGGGATCTATAGTAGAGTTCTATAATGTAGGGGCCTTAGTAAACCCCATGAAGTTGGAACCCCGATTAAGGCCAAATGGAGCTGGGATTCCCTGTACATTGCTCTTAAGGATTGAGGCTATTGGGTTTCCAACTTCTGGGCTTCTACTGTAGAAGGGTTTTAATAATAAGGGGACCATAATATGGGGGCCTTAGTAATTAGAATAGGGTTTTGGGGGCACATTATACCTACTAGGAGAGCAGGTAACCTTTTAACCTTTTTTGGGCAGTATAGTCCCTACATAATCCCCACAAAACCAAAAAAGGTTAACCTTTAGTTCCCCATGATACCCGACAAGTAGGTACTTAATGGCTTTAAATTCAACTTTTCAACTTTTGAGGTTCTTATGAGGTAGTCGATTCTGGAAGTTTCAACTTTTATTTCCTTGGGTTTTGGGCCAGTGAGTATAGGGGCCTTAATTAATAGAATGGCGTGCCGTTAAAAGGGTTTCTGAAAACGGATCTATACGGGTTCTAGAAGGACTTAATATAGGGGCCTTAAAAATGATTTAAACCTACATCATTTTGTGGGCTTCCTTATTAAAATAACGGCATAATATGCCGCCAAAGCCCTATTCCAAACATAAAGGCCTCTACATTAGTAGCGAGTGCTTTGTGGGGCAGTTTGCCAGGTAGTGGTTCCGAAACTAGCAAAGGTGTCATATAGTCATCGTCACTGTGTAGCAGTCCCTGAAATCTAGCGTTTCGATCTTTCAACATAGGTGTCTGCGCCATGTCGATTATCGTGGAAGTGGTACTGCTCAGCGGCGAAAAAGCCAGTGTGGAAGCACGCCTAGATGAAAGCATCGAGACATTAATGAATCGGGCGCAAACGGCACTTGGAGTCGGAAGAGGGAGGCTGCTGGACTCATCCGGAAGAGCACTGGTTTCGAGTTCGAAGATTGTTGATTCCGGTGTGCGGAGTGGTGATTGTCTAAGCTTGCATCTATCCAGAGTCCAAATTCAAGGCGCTCACCGCGCATTTGCTGCCATTCTTGGCGATGGATCCGTGCAGACTTGGGGCCATCCTCTGTATGGTGGCGACAGTAGCACTGTGCAGGATCAGCTGAAGAATGTTCGGCAGATTCAAGCCTCTTGCAATGCTTTTGCAGCCGTTCTTGGTGATGGATCGGTGGTGACCTGGGGCGAAGCTGGTACTGGTGGCGACAGTAGCGCTGTGCAGGATCAGCTGAAGAATGTTCAGCAGATGCAAGCCTCGCAAGGTGCATTTGCAGCCGTTCTTGGTGATGGATCCGTGGTGACCTGGGGCAATCCTCCTTATGGTGGCGACAGTACCGCTGTGCAGGATCAGCTGAAGAATGTTCAGCAGATTCAAGCCAATGATGATGCTTTTGCAGCCGTTCTTGGTGATGGATCCGTGGTGACCTGGGGCGATGCTGAGTATGGTGGCGACAGTAGCGTTGTGCAGGATCAGCTGAAGAATGTTCAGCAGGTTCAAGCCTCTTGCAATGCTTTTGCAGCCGTTCTTGGTGATGGATCCGTGGTGACCTGGGGCGAAGCTGGTAATGGTGGCGACAGCAGCACTGTGCAGGATCAGCTGAAGAATGTTCAGCAGATTCAAGCCTCGCAATGTGCATTTGCAGCTGTTCTTGGTGATGGTTCCGTGGTGACCTGGGGCAATTCTCCTTATGGTGGCGACAGTAGCGCTGTGCAGGATCAGCTGAAGAATGTTCAGCAGATTCAAGCCTTCCAATTTGCTTTTGCAGCCGTTCTTGGTGATGGATCCGTGGTTACCTGGGGCATTGCCGACAGTAGCGCTGTGCAGGATCAGCTGAAGAATGTTCAGCAGATTCAAGCCTCGAAATTTGCTTTTGCTGCCATTGTTGGTGATGGATCCGTGGTAGCGTGGGGCAATTCTAAGTATGGTGGCGACAGTAGTGCTGTGCAGGATCAGCTGAAGAATGTTCAGCAGATTCAAGCCTCGGAAGATGCTTTTGCAGCCGTTCTTGGTGATGGATCCGTGGTGACCTGGGGCGATGCTGAGTATGGTGGCGACAGTAGCGCTGTGCAGGATCAGCTGCAGAATGTTCAGCAAATTCAAGCCTCGGGCCATGCTTTTGCTGCCATTGTTGGTGATGGATCCGTGGTGATCTGGGGCAATACCGAGATTCCCTAGCTTTCCGTTTGCCTCGACTTCTTCCAATTCGCCGAGCTTGCGTGGGAGGAGCCTTATTGCAGCTCTGCAAACAGCAACACTTCGGCAGGTCGGTGCTCAGATTCTTCTATATAATTCTTAAGGCCCATACAGTAGAAGCCCAAAAGTTGGAAACCCAATAGCCTCAATCCACAAGAGGCATGTATAGGGAATCCCAGCACCATTTGGCCTTAATCCGGTTCGCATTTTTTTGTTGGTGTGAGAGCCTGTTCTGTGATGCTTGTATTGACCAAGCACAGGAAGCTACAGATAGCGCGTCCCCGAACCCTGAACCTGATTGTTGGCAGGTCTGCCACGTCAATCTTTTTTGAGCTCCAGATACAGCCACAGGAGTAAAGATCAGTGCTTCAATTTATGCCAACAGCTGAGGCAGCAGGAGCCTCAACCTCTCTCGTAAGGCCTGATACCTTAAAATCCGCCATAGGAACCCTGAGGGGAACCCCTGTTCCAATTCCTAGTTTCCGCTGTAGCGCCCTTTTGTCCTTTTATTTTGAGAATCTCCATATCACAGCCGAATGGTAGGAACAAAGAGTATCTTAAGGCCCCTATCTTATAGTATGTAGTCAGTTTATTAGAAATGCTCTAACCGAGCCTTTCATGGGCTTCCCTATTGTAATTTTCATACAGGCCCCTTATACGATATACAGAAAGAGAAACCCTGAAAGAGAAACCCTTTCAAGAAGCCCGACACAGGAGCTCCTGTTCAACTGCTAAAGTAAAAGACCCCGGAGTGGCCTAAACCCTAAACCCGAAACCGTAGCCTGCGGCATTTCTCCCGAGGTCACCAAGATGCAGTGGAAGACCTCGGATTTTTCCAGGCCAGGAATTGTAAAACTTGGCTTGGGGTTCGGTTTAGGGTTTAGGGTTGAGGGTTCATTTAGGGGGCTGTTGGGGTTTAGTATTTAGGGTTTCTGGGTGTAGGGTTGATAGTCTAGGGGAGGCTGATTTCGGGCTTTCAAGAGGGTTTGACCTGCTGTGATTCATGGAGTGCCAACCCCGGGCACCCTAAAAAATGGCTTGAACAAATCAGTTCCGGACACAGTCCTTATGCTAAGTAATTATTATTATCACATCTCCATGAAGCTTTCATAGTTTTCTGGTATACGTTGAACATCCACTTCCCGGAGAGCCCAATACCCCTCAAATAAGGAATATACCCTAGATTATAGAGGCCTTGAACTTATCAGATTTAAGGTCTATTCCTTAGTTAAGGGTTATTGGGATCTCTGGGTTTTTCCAGACCCTAAACCCTATACCCTAAACCCTAAACCTTCACCATCGAGCAATGGAAATCCAACCGTCTAGCATCTTCGGCTGTCGGGGACTACGACCACAACCCTAAACCCTACCAAAGGGGCTTAAGTACTTACCCTAAGGTCCCAAAGTAGTTCCTTTCTGGGGTTCGTATATAGAATCCTACAAGGTAATCCCAAAAAGGAACTACTATGGGGCTTCTAGGTACCTATACTGTTTAAGAGGTGCCTTAAAATGGATACTATAAGGGTTCTAGAAGGGATTCAGGGATATAGGGGCGTAGACCTAATTCTGGTATATAAGCCCCAATATTACACCCGAAACCCTCACCATTATCCCTTACCCGGCCTTATACAATCCTCAACCCTTTAACCCCAACTCTAAGTCCTAATCCCAAAAGCTATATGGGTGGTTGTCAAAAATATGGTCCCTTTCTGGGTACCCTAAATATTAGGTGCCGTATTGTAATAAGGACCCTAAAAGGGACCCCAATTCTGACAACCACCCATACAAGCCCCAAGTTGCCGGGAGGCTTTTACGAAGCAGGTCTTTACATGTGTGAGCGGGCTCATTGTCGCCTCTTGCGCTCTTCCGACCAGCCTTTCCCAGTAGTCGAGTAGGTACTTTAACCATTTTTGGGTAGTATAGTCGTTTTTGAATCCATACATAACTTAACCTTTAGTTCCCCATGATCCCCGACAAGTAGGCTTTCCAACCGTGTTGACGTAGTTTACCCAAAGGCCCCAAAGTAGTTTCTTTTAAGGGTTCACATTCAGAATCCTATAAGGTAATCCCATAAAGGAACTACTTTGGGGCCTTTGGGCAGCTAAAGTGGCTCTCAGGGTTTGGGTTTCGGGTGAAGTGTTCAGCATGCTTGGAGTGAATACGCATTGCTTGGAGGTGCATGGGTGGGGTTATAAGTAGGGTAACTATACCCATATTAGGGGACTTATAACCCTACCTATAACTACCCGTGAACCTCCAAGTAGACTGGCCGGGTCCATAGTCATGACCTGGGCAGAGCTTCCTGCGATGCTTGGCAGCTGCAACGTCTACATCGGGTTCTGGCTGATGTTCTAGGGTTGAGAGTTGTAGGGTTGCGTTTCTTTCAAGTTGCGAAGTCATCGTCTCTAAATGCCCTAAAGCCCTCAGAACACTCCCGGCCGTTAAAGAACTTACATCGGCTTCCCGTCCTCCGGTCTACTTAGCACCACAAAGACGGCCATCCATATCCGGATCCATGTCCTTACTCTACCTAGAGGCCCCATGGTAGTTCCTTTTTGGGATTACCTTATAGGATTCTACACATGCCAAAAAGGAACTACTTTGGGGCCTTAGGGTATTGCGCACTTTGCCGAGTCCATGATATACGAGGTCTCGGATCCCTTGGGTGTTTTTGCCCCACTCCTCCAACAAAACACAAATCATGCGCCAATTTCATGCCAGGATGAAGTCTCAGTTTCCGAAAGTTAGGGGGTACTCGATATTGGGGTCCTTATAATAAGAATCCTACTATTCAGGGAACTATAACTCCCATTTTACGGTCCCTCATTTTTGGAAACCCCCATATTATAGTACCTCTTTAGATCCCTGATGGTACAGCCCCTTTAAACGAGACCTGATCCAACCCTATTTTCGGAAACTCCCCTAAGACGTATTCCTAGTGGTAGAGTAGGTAACCTTTACCCTTTTTTGGGTAGTATAGTCCCTATATAATCCCAATCCAACCCTGTTTTCGGAACTCCTAAATGATGAACTCTGGCAGGCCGAGCCGCGCTGCTTGGCCAGTTGCTCTCACGATGGCTCCGCCATGGCGGGACGGGAGATCGTCGACGGGTTTAAGGGTTTAGGGTTTTAGGGGTTGGGTCTTGGGTTTAGGGGTTTAGGGTTTAGGCTTTTCCTCTGTGCTGTGGCGTTCAGGCTTATATAGTTTGGTGTTGGGGTTTTGCTCTTCTAGCACCCAGAGTAGGCCCTTATCCCTTGTAGCCCCCTTTACACCAAAACGGGCACCCCTTTTATTCCTAGGTTTCTCTTAGGTCAAGAAAGAGCCCGGTGGCCGGTAGGGCACCGCGTCGAGTTGCCAACCTTCAGCGGCTCGTGCCTCGGAGACACTGTGTCCTGGAAACCTGAAGCGGCCACGCGTGTGGTTGCCCTCCAAACGGCAGGCACGGGATCCGATCGATATGTGTGGGGCCGATTTTGGGCTTCGAGCCTAGAATCCCTTGGTGCCGACGTTGGGATCCTTTCCGAGACGCGGCTTCTCACCCCGGCGTCGCACGCTGCTGCGTGTCGCGGTCTCTTGGATGGCGGATATGTTGCGCTCAGCCACAACAGCGTGCGTGCTGCTCCAGCCGTTGCAGACGCAGACCTCGGACCCTCCGCCAGTGGGGTTGTTCTAGCTTTGAAGTCCAAACATCCAACAGGATGGTATGACGCGGCCTACGGTCCGCACGGACGCGGATTGGCGGCGTCCGTGGATTTATCTGCGTCCTTAGAACTGCGCGTGATCGCCCTCTATGGAGTGAGTGGATCCTGTTTACCGGGGTTTACTCGCCGGGACGCTGCCGTGCAACAGGAAACCGATCTCAACACCTTTGTGCGTCAGCAGTGCCACATGGCCTTGCAACGTGATGCCCTGCTGGTTGTTGCGGGAGACCTGAACTCCATTCACGACCCTGCCCTCGATGTGTGGCAAGGCGTGGCCGCCCAGAGAGATAACAGCCTTGTCTCCACGCTACTGGACTGCGGACTCATGGACACCTTCCGGGTCAGACACCCTACAACAAAAGCTTTTACCTATTTTTCCCCGGCCGGAGGTGCCAGCAGATTGGATGCTGTGTTGTGGCGGCCTCCGATGAGCTGCGAGGTGCCGCTCCTGAATGCTGCCGTCATCTGGGCCTGGTCCCGCAGGATTGACCACGATCCGGTGGTGGCCGATCTCGCCCACCCCGTGCCGCAAGTCTCTGACCCGGATGCCGAGGAGCCGAACCACCTATGGAAGCGTCTCATAGAACGCCTCTATGACCCGGTGCTCCGTGCCCGCGTCCAGAACCGTGTGGAGCAACACCAACCTGAGCTGCACCGCATCCGTTGTAGCCTGGAAGCAATCAGCGAGGCATGCGGGCGCAATGCCGACGGATCCTGTGGCCACTCCGGTCCGCAAGCGGTAGAGCTCTTGGAAGGTCTGCTGCCGTGGAACCCACCCTGTGATCCCCGCACCCCTGCCCTCCTCGACTCTCTGTCGGCAGCGCATCTGCGCCTGATGCAAATTCTGATGTCCTGCCTGCCCCAAGACGAAGCCGCGCCGGCATCTCACTCCCACGGCCGGGCCAGCAACTGCTGGGATCACGTACTCCACCTCTTGCGCGAGCTGCGACAATCACTCACATTCGCGTTGCAGCTGGAGGTCTGGCGGGCCCCATTCCCCTCCTTGTTACTAGCGCTAGGCCACGCCTGGCAACGTGCGAGCGAACAAACCCAGAAACTCCAACCCCAGCGTCAGCCAGACTCGCCCTCTGGTTCTTTTGACCCCAATGACTGGGACGGCTTTAGATCTGACTCCGCTGCGTGGGCAGCCGCTCGCGGCTTCCCAGATGCAGATTGGCAAGGCCCAGCATTACAACATAGGACGCATCATGCTGCCACACCTTGGCTGACCTCGCTGGCGGACGTGCCGGTGCTCCCCGCCCTTACTACTCCTACTTCTCCCGAAGAAGGTCGTGCCCTCCTCCAGGCTGCCGCGGAGTGGAAGGAGACGGCCCGCCACTTACGGGCTGCTGTCTGGCGACACCGGGGCCAAGCTCAGCGGACCACACGAAGCCAGGCCCTCCGCAACTACAACCTCCGGCTGTGGTGTCGCCTCATGCGGCCCCCTCGCCGACCTCAAGCGGTGTACGCACCAGCTCGTCTGCGCCTTGAAGATGGATCCTCGAAGGTGCCCATTTCCCCGGCCGAAGTTCGGCAAGCTGCGGTGCAGGAGTGGACCCCCTTGCATCAAGGCCCCAGCCCTGGCTGGTCCCATCCGGTGTTGCGCTGTTGGACGGATGGCCTGGGCAATGCCCGGGCTTCCCCGAATATCCTGCACATTGGAGCTGCGCCACTGGGCAGCAGAGACCTGGATCTTGGTGAAGCTTACCTACAGCCAGGCTCCCTCCAAGCGGTGCGCTGGGTGGGTCACGAAATCTCTCAAGTGTCTCGTGCTGAAGTGTTAATCCAAGGGTGGCAGCTTCGGCAGGATCAGACTGGACAGTGGATCGCGCAGCGCTTGGGACCATGCCCAGGACCCTGTAGACTCCTGATTGCCGTGGGGAATACACCTCCCGGGTTGTGGACGCCGGAACGATGGATCCACAGTCAGAGACACAATCTGACCTCCTTCTTTGTTGTGATGAGCACGCAGCCGCTCACTTGTTCCGACATAGTGGGCCCTCTCAGCTCTTCAGAGAGGGAGAAGCTATTAAGCAAAGGACGCTCCTCTAGGCCCGGACCATCAGGTTGGAAAGTGTGCTACCTGCGCTTGTTTCCCGACTGGGCCCGGGAATATTATTGGCACTCCCTGGACGTCCAGCGGGGATGCGGGTTGGTGGCCGCACATTCCCGTCAGGCCCTGCAGGTCAACATGGCAAAACCTAAAGGAGGTTGGCGACCTCTCACCATGTTAGAGGAAAGCTTCAAGGCTGTAGAGGGCCCAGTAACCAAACGACTCGCCTCCATGCGTCGCCGGCTGCCGCCTGGATGCATGTACTGCCCCAGCAATCAGGCTTACGAGCCGGGTGTAAATGCTGCTCCCCTCGTGCTTTACCTGGATGCCATGACGCTTGAAGACGCCAGACATCATCAACGCAACATCTGCCGCATTCCGGCAGACTACGAGAAATTCTTCAACGCGGTGTCACTGCAAGGGGCCGATGCTGTCCTACACTCCCGAGCCGTTCCGCCCTGCGCCAGGAGGTTACTTACTGCAGCCTTCTCGGACATACAGGTCAGCATCCAAACGCGCTGGGGTAACTCTCCTCCGCTCACCATTACCCGAGGATTACCGCAGGGATCAGTCTCTGCGCCAGAACTATCCCGGGCCGCACAAGATCCCATGCTCCGTCTTCGCGAGAACAGCCCAGCAGCGTATCATACGCACGGGGGCAGGCGAGTGGCTGCAGCTGGCTTCGTTGATGACACGGAGCACTATGGGGCAGGTGCGGCGGATCTGCCGTCTATTCTTGCAGATCTCTCCCTTGGTAGCCTGGGAACTGGGATTGGATTCGCTTGGACCAAATGTTCGGCTTTTGCCACGGACTGGGACCAGTTTGTCCAACACCCAGGCTGCCCCGGCATGGACGCACGCAGCATCCAGGGCTCTGGTTGGGACATCTGGCACGGTGGCCTCGCCCAGGGAGTTATTGCCAGGTCTCTGGAGCATAGCGAGGAGACCCTCCTGGGTAAAACTGGCACGGTGTGGGATCGCCATACCGCGGCAGCGCAGCATCTTTTGGACCGCATTCTCTCGGTTCGCCAGATGTTGGCTTCGGGGCGCTACACCTGGGATGAAGCAGCGACCATGTACCAGCTTCGTGTACGCGGATTCCTCTCCTATGCGACACTGCTGGGTATTCCTCCTTCACCAGCTTTGCACGAGGAGGATTGCGCTTTCCAGCGTCTCATCTTGGGGAAACTGGGCACAAGATGCACGGCAGAGCGTGTTAGCCTCCTTGCCTGCAGTCGGTCTGGGGGCCTGCAACTCACCTCCGTACTGGAAGCCGTCATATCTTCTGCAGCCCAAGACGTAATCCTCCTCCTCTCCGGCGATGGTCTGGCCGGACAGGTAGCGCGAGACCAGCTCCGGGAAGCTATGTGGCAACCCCCCCTGGATGCAGCGGACGATGGCCGCCTCATCCCTCGGGCACTGCATTTCCTAGCGCAATACGGCTTCTATGTCACTGTGAACGTTGATCGCACCATTGCTCGCGTGTTAGACTGCTTAGCTCGCCAGCGGGGCGTGTCTCCGCACCAATTGCTTGGTGCATTTCATCCGGGCCTTGCTGCTCGGGCTGCAGCCTTCAGCCGGGTAGGATACATTGCCAACACGCTCCGCATGGCCCGGCACACCTTGCAGAGGAATCAGGTACCGCCCCAGGAGTGGAGCAGGCCAGCCACCTGGGCACAGGTTCTGGAACACTCCTCGCTGAGCCCTGAAGAGGTCGCGTCGGCCTGGCGGGATGGAAGTCAGCACTCCAAAATGGATTGGCTCACGGAAGCTCGCATCTTCGGCAGCCCACCGAGGCCTTGCCCTCCGGAGGACTGTCCCGAATCTGCTTGGGAGAAGCCTTGGACACTTGGACCCCGAGGGAATGCTCTCGTCACCATCCTCCCCTCAAACATTGCAGGCGATCAGGCTTTGTACAGTGATGGCAGTCAGGCCGGTGCATGCTGCAGCTTCAGTGCCCAAGCCCTCTCCTTCGGTCCGGAGGGTCAGTACTGGGATCACAGCTCCCATGCGTCATCTCAAGTACGCGCCCGCCTCCCCAGCCATTTTGGCTTTGAGGCACCGGGCATTCACCTTGCAGAGTTGATCGGTATGATTGCCGCGCTTCGCTTTCGTCGGGCCGGGCACTGGAATCTGCTGGTTTGTGATCGCAGTGCCCTATTCTCTGCGCTCCAGCATGCCTTCCCGCCTCGCCCTTCTCGATGGAACTGCCATCCACTGGAGTCGCGGCTGCATGCGGTACTTCAACATCTCCACCTTTCATGGCACGACCCAGGACCAGTCATGCCCTCGTGGCGCCGCCACGTTGAGGCCCACCCCCACGAGTGGAATCAACGGCGCCAGCTGGGGACAAGACTGGTTTGGATGTGCCGCCTTGCCCATGACGCCGATGGACTCGTTGGCGTAGACCTCAAAAGCCACCAGACCCAAGACCCCTGTCCGCACCCAGTCATCGTCGCTGGGAATGCCTCGCAAGATGCCGGTTGCCGCCTCGCCGCTGCTGGCGCGGCACCTCCAGACGTGCTCCTGCCCGCTGGCGGCACTTTTGCGTTTCTTGTGAGGGAGGGGCGTATGATTACCAGCCCTGCCCGCGCTGCCATCCGTAAAGTGTTGCGGCAGGAGGCTGCTTCCCAATGGGTGGCAAAGCCTGTCCAAGGCAAGGCTGGGCGCATGGGAGATTTGATCTTTCGTCCATGCCTGCATCCCCTCCTCTACTCGCAGTTGGGTATCCCCTCCAGGTGGCATACCCTGCGGCTCCCGCAGGATAGCGGACAAGTGGACCTCTCCGGATTCCAGTTCCGATGCCTGCGTGCTATAGGCGGCAGCTGGACCGAACTCCTCCACTCTGACGCATCGCTCCGGAGGCAGGCCGCTGCAGACGCACAAAGGCATGATCGCAGTCCGCGCACCTGCCCCCTTTGTCTGCATAGTGCGGGCACGCCCAGACACGTCATCATGCGATGCTCTCACATGCGCCCCCTGGTGGACCATGTGCGTGATCTCTTGGAAGCGGAACTGAGGCTTTTGGTCTCCCCGAGCCAACTCTTTGCCTGTGCTGCGGAGTGGAGGTCGGGACTCCAACTCCCCGCCCTTCCTCCTGCATCTGCAATGCGGTGGCCTTTACTTTGTGCATGGCACCTGCTTGTGTCCAACCCAGCACGTGAAGCACTCCTCAACGCAGACCACCAAGGTCGGTCTTCCGCTGGCGTGGAAATGGAGGGCGCGTTTGAATTGGGACACCGAGGCATCCTCTCCCGCGAGCTCGGCCGGTGTCTGCTGCGAGAATGGGATGCCGGTATGGAGGAGGGTTTGCCAGAGGAGTACGCCTTCTATCGCCAAGTTGGACTAGCCGAGGCTGAGCAACGCGTGCGCAGTACCCGAGCCGTGAAGCTTCAGCACCCAGTGCAACTCACAAGCCTCCTCCTCCTGGGACTGCGGTGTATCCGTGCGCAGTACCTGCAAAGAGTACGAGCCATTGCACAACTCAGCTCCTTGGCTAACCCTGTTCCGGCTGACCCCGATTTGGAGGAGCAGCCGCAGCCCCCAGGCAATGACCGCTTATTGGGATGGCTTCAAGGCGCAGGTGCCTGCACGGTCAAGGAACTGCGCTGGCAGCTGCTGCCTGCTGCCTCCGTGGTGGAGCGCGTCCGCCAAGAATGTGGTCGCAGCATCAGCCTCCGTGGCGTCTCCGCTGCAGCTATCTGGAACCGGCTCCGTTTGTGTGGTGTGCCATCCCTCTCGGCCACCGGTCCGGACTGGGGTCCTAGCTTCCCCACCTGGACGAAACTGCAGGCAACACTGCAACAAGGACTCTGTGAATGCGCTCAGCCTCCTGTCCTGGGTCTTTGCTGGGACTGCGGACGGGTTCGACTGCCACAGCACGGTCCCTAGGCACTGACACTCCCGTGCCCGTGGTGTTGCCGCGAAGACACGCAGGCCGAGGCGTGTGCAGCTTGCCGTATTGCTCTGCATGTCCGGGGGGCTTGCCCCACCTGGAACCGGGGCATAAGCTCCCGGTACAGACCCACAGACCTGGCGATCGCTTTCCTATGTCCGGATTGTTTGTGGATCCTGGTGGGTGCAATAGCTGCCAGTCCAAGGGCGCCAGCCAGACCACGAGAAGCGGCAGACTTGCAGACGCATCTCAGATCTCTTGCTCGGCTGTGTCAGCCTGGGGCCGGTTCTTCCGCGCCAACTGATTCAGAGCCCCTCTCCTTACGGCGGGTGAGCCGATGGACCCTCCGGCACATCAGGCGTTCTCCCGGTATCTCACTGCAGCAACTCACAGAAGACTTTGTTCAACATCTCCAGCAGCTGCGGCAGGAGGTCGACAGAGACCTCTGCGACCGCCTGGTCGAGTCCGCAGTGCAATCCATGCTGCGAGCGGAACGCATCCAAGCACTGAACACTGGATACTCGCTGCGAGGGTAAAAAATAAAACGCTGGCGCGGAAGCACTGGCACCGCTGTGCTTGTAGTCATTCGTCGTCACTCTGCTTCTGTCCTCCTTGTCTTCCTTCCGTCGTACTCTTTCCCTTTCCCTTGCCGGGCTATGACGTTTTCGGAGCCCGGGGCGCTCTGCCAGTCTGATCTCCAAGTGGAGGGGGCTATGACGGTTTCGGAGCCCCCTGGGAAGCCGGGAGGGATGGCGCCTTAGGCATGGCCCTGTCCCCTCAGGTGCCGCTCACTCACTCACTCACTCACTCACTCACTCTTAGGTCTAGTCTTTGAGTTTGAATCAAGAGAGTGCTCCGGGTTTTAATCGGTGTTCGGCTTCCAAAGGGTTCAGGGGGGCCACGGCTGTGCAGGGTTTAGGGTTCAGGGTTCTCTCCCTATGGGCCTCACAGTACCCGACGAGAAGGCACTTGGGTTGAAGTTTTAGGTTTGTACCTATAGTCTCCACTGTAGTTCCTTCTGTTGGTTAACCAGCCTTATGGCTAGAATTCCATAATATAAACTGGTTTACCAAGAAATAGGAACTACAATAAGTTTTGAGGAGATGGTGTTGATGGTGCACTTGTACCATGAACGCTTCCAGGGCTTTCAGGCTTTTTGAGCAGGGTTCGATTAGGGCTTTGGTCTTTTACTTGTTTACTTGGGTTTAGGGACGGATATGTTAGAAGCTGCCCCCACCCTGTAATAGTGGTATAATAGGAATATAATAGGGCCCTAATATAAACCTATATAATCCTTATGGTCACTATTACAGGGTGGAGGCAGCTTCTAACGGATATGGTTTTGCGCTCAATTCGGCTCGAGTTCAGACGGATTTGGGCTTCAGGGGCGATCCCAGAGTTGCGGCGTTTGGCCAAGAGGAGCTAAGACCTAGAGTAGGCCCTTATTCCCTTTTTTAAGGGTTCAGGTTCCCTTATAAGCCCCTTTAACCCAAAAAGGGCACCCCTTTTATTCCTAGGCCACTCTTGGGTCTAGGGAGCGTAGGTGGTAAAGAAACTTTGAGGCCAAGCTGCCCTAAACTTCCTACTCTGCCACACCCGCCCTAAATTTGGGCTTGAGTTACCCTGCCGTACTCCGTCCTAGCCTGCCCTCTCATCCCCTATCCCAATCCCGACATTGACCTTACCGACCTAGCTTGCCGTATCCCACCGAACGCGACCCAAGCCTCTACTCTAGCTTATCCGACCAACGTGCAACTTCCTCCATTCAGCGAGACCTTTACCTAGACCCCCCATCTTAAAAAAGGCTATTATTCTACATATTGTTTGGGACCCAGGTATCAACCCTAATTATCCGTAAATCCTGACCTAACCTACCCTGCCTCACGCTGCCCGACCCTGATCCGGAGCCTGACCTGACCTACCTGGAACTCCTGGATTGCCAACCCTAAAGTAGCCTAGCCTGCATAGTTGATACTTTGAGAGGCACCAGAAAAGGACATGAGCATAGGCATTTTTACAAGGATATCCCTACCTTATTAATTGGGCTTCATTACACGTGTGCTCTTGCAAACAGGAGGCGGAGCCAGTTGTCGAGCTTCCGATTTGCCTCATGTGCCAAGATAGCATGGATGCACACGAGTCGGTGCTGTTGCAGTTGCATTGTTCACACTGGTTTCATGATGACTGTGTCCGGAGATGGGCTGAGTCAACGGGAACGAGGGCTGGAACAAGATGTCCTTTGAGGTGTACTATTCCCGAGTCCCGAGTCAGCTGCTCCTGAAGCACCTCCCACAGTGGAAGAACACATCGACATGGATCTCATGGAACTCGAGAACATTGAACCCACCTTCACGTGTCGGGAGCCTGACCTGATCTACCTGGAACTCCTGGATTGCCAACCCTAAAGTAGCCTAGCCTGCATAGTTGATACTTTGAGACGCACCAAAAAGGACATGAGCATAGGCAGTTTTACAAGGATATCCCTACCTTATTGGGCTTCATTACACGTGTAGTCCGAATTTCGTGAGCGACTACCTAGACCCCCCAAACTAGGCAATATAATTGTGCAAAATCTGTAAAAGGCTAGTATTCTACATACTTTTGGGGCCCAGGATATAGGATTCTAGATATGAACCACAAAAAGGAACTACTATGGGGCCTGAGGTACTTTTGGGGCCCAGGTGCGACTCCGACATTTGATTGTTCAACGGAGGCCGCGGGAGGTGTCAGGCTTGAGGTTGCTCTTGGGCACCCCTAGCTTGATGTCTTTCTAACCCCTTTCAGCCCTAAACGCGCAAACCCTAAAACCCTATATAACCCCAATAGACCTATAGACCCTAAACCCTAAGACACCTAAGCACTAAACCCCTAAGCCTTAAAACCCTTAACTTTGAAGTCCTTCTAACCCCTAAGCCCTAAACCCTAAGACACCGAAGCCCTAAACCCCCAAGCCTTAAAACCCTAATGAACTTTGAAGTCCTTCTAAAGCAGGTGTGGGATCTCCGAATCCAAGATCCCGCCCGGCGGTTCGCCGTGTCAAGCCGAGAGGTTTCCACGGCCTGGTTGGAACGACTTCCTTTTTAGGGTGTAGGGTTTAGGGATTAGGGATTCAGGGTTTAGGGGCTTAAGGTTTCGGAAATAGGTGTAGGGAAATTGGGTTTCGGGGTTTCGGGCTTAGCGGTTTAAGGGTTTGGAGGCTTGGGATTCAGGATTTCCTTGAACCATGGTGTTCCAGAGTTCAGTTTTAACCTAATGGCCCGACCAGGTCAAAGGTGGCATGACGTATAAAGGCTTCGGGCACCAACGCAACTTCTTTTTGTGTAATGGCTGCGTTCTCAGGTTTGTAAGGAGATTGAGGGTTTTAAGGATCGTTTGCAGTCTAGGGGTAGGGTTTAGGTTTTAAGGGTCCTTTAAGGGTCTAGGGTTTAGGGTTTAAGGTCGTTTAGGGTTTAGGGCATAGGGCTTTGGGGTTAGGGTATAAGGTAGTTGAGAGTTCAGGGTTTGGTTCAACGGTTCTGAACACAGGGTTTCGGAGTTTCGGATGGTTTTGGTCTTATAGGGGTTGGGTGCCTGGTTTTGGGATTCAGCAGTTTGTATGGGTTTTCTGCGCGAGAGGCGTAGGCGAAAAGCGACAAAGTGTGATCGAGTTCATCGCACTGTAGTGAAGCTCTTGTTCGAAAGCCTTGTTGTTCTAATGCACTACCTTGACCCCCAATAACCCACTGTTTTAAGGGCGTATATAAGGAAGTCATAGTAGGGAACCCTAAAAAGGTAGGTTTTTTTTAGGGCCCAGGTACTTCTTAAGATCACCCTAAACCGGCAGACCCGCAGCCCTCCTGACATCATTGCATGGCAGCGCAGCTCTTGTAGTGGCTTTGCCATAGCTTCCCAGGGCCCAGACTCAAAGCCGTTGCACACTGATATCCGAGGGTTGATGTTGGGCTGTGCGCGGTTCTACCACAGTGATAGGGTTTAGTAAACGGATAACAGGCTTTTTTTGGGGGTGGTCTTATTCGATGCACGTGTTTTCATGCTGCTTCTATGAGGTTCTATGAAGTATAGGTATAGGGCTTCCATTCCTGGTGTAAGGATACTTTATGGAAATGTTAGAGACTCAGTAGCTGAGTGAGCACCCTTTACACTTTTGGGGACAATGTGATCTCTTATAGAACTGAAAGCACACACTTTTTGGGGCTTATCAATTCAGCAGCTAGGGAGAGAGGGTCTCTGCATCACATCGATCGTTGCTTACAGCCGATCCCGGCTGCAGCAATCGGCTTGGGTGACGAAGCAACGCGACGCCGCTGGGTGAAAGTGTCTAAGCTTACGCATCACATGGAGCATGCTGATGATCACATGCTAGAAAGCCTTAGTAGCTATGTGGATACACTTTACACTTTTTGGGATAATATTACCCACCATAAAGCTGAAAGTGTACACTTTTGGGGGCTTCTGAACCCAGCAACTAAGATCCAGAACATTCAGGTTATCCTTCAGCAGAAGATGAAAGACTCATTGGCAACAAGCCAACCTACGCAGGCACCGACACAAAGAGAACACCAAAGTCTCATCATCAGCAGCAACATCATCGCCACCCAGCAAGTAACCCCAGCCACCCCACCCTTCCGGTGCCGAAGCTCGAATAGCATTGCTCTGCTTCGTGAGCTTGCTCAAAGTAGCGGCTTTGTCACGCAGAAATCAGCTTCCGTTTAGCCGCAACCCTCAACCCGAAAGGGCTAAGCCCTAAACCCTACCCTAAACCCTAAACCCTAAACCCCTAAACCCTAAACCCCGAAACCCTAAGCCCCTAAACCCTAATACCCCAAAACCCTGACAGGCTCCTACTAAACTCCTCCTCCTGACAGCGACGCACGAGCCCTGAACCCCAGGCCATCAAACCTATGACATACGGTTGATGATATAAATCCTGCATTACCTTTAGGACCCTAAACTAAGGGAATTGTGGTATATTCCTTATTATGGGTATGACATATGATTGCAAAGGAACCTTAAACCCCTGCACCCTAAACTCTTCCTTGACCCCAAATAACCTACTGTTTTCAGGATTAATATAAGACAATCATAATTAGGAACCCTTAAAAGGGATCCTTAACAGGTAGGTTCTTTAGGGTCCAGGTACCCGAAACCCCCAAAGCCTCAAACCTATAAGTGTAAACGAGCATCGGCAGCAGCTGGCTCAATGGCGTCTTGCTGCCGGCTTCCAAGAGCCGTGCTGCAGAGGAGCCCGCTACACGTCTCAGGGTTGAGAGTTTAGGTTAGGATGTAGCAGTTCAAGGTTTCGGCTTGAGGGTCCAAGGTTTCGAGTTTAGGGCTTCAGCCCTAAACCCAAAGCCCCTAAACCCCCAACCCCCAACCGTCGGGGTTTAGGGGTTCAGGGTTTTGGGGTTTTCAACGGTGGCTTGCCCCTCACAGTGGCAGAGCTCCACAGCCAGAAACCTCAATCCTGAAGGCCTGTGCCCGATGCCCGAAACACACGGGTGGTTGTCAACATTAGGGTCCCTTTTTGGGTAACCTAAATAATAGGTGCCATATTATAATAGGGACCCAAAAAGAGACCATAATCTTGACAACCTCCCACACAGATCCTAAACCTTAGCCCTACTTGGAGGTTCTTGGGACTTAGTAAGTACAGTTATAAGTAACCTCATGTATAACCCGGGGTCATTAATACCAACTACCATGAACCTCTAAGTAAACCGCTGGAAGCCTACAGTTTTAAGGACTTATGTAAGTATATCTCACCAAAAGTAAGTAAAATATTGGCCCAAGGCCTATAAACGGCCATTATTCTACATACTTGTTTCCTAAACCTTGGCCCTACCTGGACCCCATGAGTCTGTTGTAGAGTAACAGCCTTTTAGAGGTTTTGGGCCATTATTTTAAAACAGCTCTACATTATAGTCCCCTTTTAAAAGTCCCCTTAGTCCTATTCTGATTATAAAGGCCCTTCTAAAAAGCACCAAACCACCAGAGAGCCCAGTACCCCTCAATTAAGGAATATGGCTTAAATTATATAGGGCGTTATATCATGATTTAAGCTATATTCCTTAATTAAGGGGTATTGGGCTCTGCGGGCCACTGCGGTGCAGAAAGCTCCTGGGTCTCGGGCGCCGCGGCAGCGCTGCCGCCAAAGATGGCGCCCAGGAGCTGGGAACGAGATTTAGTCAGTAACTAGTAAACGGAAGTGTATCAAAACTGAAGGAGTGCTAATAATCACGGTTTAGGGTGTAGGGTTTAAGAGTAAGAGCAATAGGAGTAGCAAAAGTAATCGTAGCAGTGAAGGACAATGACTATCTGCGGCGATTTCATGGAGTTTGGGGCGTCGGGTTCATATTAATTAAGGGGTCCTACAAGGACCTGGGGTGCATGAGTCCTATCACGCCTTTGAACGATGATGAAGTTTGGGGCTTTGTATTAATCTTGGGGTTTGGGGTCATTTTTGGTTGTATGGATTCAAGGGTTTAGTGTTTTTTTTAATAGGGTTTTGAGAATTTGCGACGTAGGACTGTAGGTTGCAGGATTTAGCATTGTAATCAGGGCCATACTTTCGGGGTGTAGGGTTTATGTGGAGTGTCATATTGGCTGTATAGGGTTCCGTAAGTGGTGCATAAGGGATCGAGTTCAAGGGTTTTGTGGAGTTTGAGGGGTGGCTTTGCTTACATTGTTGCTTGCAATTACTACTGTTGTTTAGAAAGCGGGCCTGGCGCTGTGCAGCACCGGGCTTTTGTCTGGGATGTTCAAGCTTCCTCAACATGCTGCACGTTAGCCCTTAGCATGTCTTCACCGATTGATTTCGAATAAAGATGTTTCTAGCCCTCATCGGTAGTTTTCATCGAGGACTGAGGCACGCAGGTTTTGCTATGCTGGTGTGTTTGCTGCCGGAATCCTCGACTACTTGGAGGTTCATGGGTAGTTATAAGTAGGGTTAGAAGTCCCCTAATATGGGTTGTATGTACAGTTACCCCACTTACAACTCTACTTATAATTACCCATGAACCTCCAAGTAGGTTGCGATGTCCTGCATACCAGCAGCAGCAGCCTCTCCGACTCCAAGGCCAGTCACGGTCCCAGAGATCCCAATACCCCTTAGTTAAGGAATATACCTTACTTAAATAGTAGGAGGCTTAATACTATGATTTAAGGCACCTTAATTACGGGGTATTGGGTTCTCTGGGGTCCCGGAACTTCATCCGTGGGACGATTTTTTATCCCAGTTTGGTCTGGACACCGTTTGCTCCGGACGCCGGAGAAGCCACCCAGAGACTCCAATACCCCTTACCTGAGGAATGTACCTTGTATTATCGCCGGATCTCTAATATTATTTAAGGTATATTGCTTAATCAAGGGATATTCGAATCCCCTAAACCCTAAACCCTATAGATCCCGTTGAAGGAAACTTAGGTACATTCCTTCATTCATGGTTATTGGAGTCTCTGCGCAGTCACCATCCCGAAGCCAAAGATGCCGGGCATCCCCAAAACGCCACCGGCTGCAAGGCGGGGGTGTGCAGATACTTAGGCACCCAAAAAGCGCATAAGCATACGCATCTTATGGCCATGTCCCTACCTCAATGGGCTTCATTATAGGGGGCTTATATGGGATATCCCTACTTGAATGGGCTTCATTATAAAGGGGGGGGTTATATAATATGGGATATCACCATATCCTACTTTTTTCTTAGGCAGCGGGCTTGTTCGTTCAAGGTTATTAGCCCAGAGAACCCAATACCCCTTCAGGAAGGGGTTGTGCCTGCAAGACCGACGTCTTCCAGGGAGTATTTAGGTGGGCCCAAAGGGTCCGAAGTACCTTTATAGTAGAATGTAGGGTTTCTATATATGGAATTACTAATATGATTTGGGGAAGTATCCCCCATAACAGTACTTTGGACCCTTTGGGGGGTTCAGACTACGACATAAGGAGTCGAGTTTGGGCTAGGGGGGGGCGTAGAGGTTGTCGAAACCATACCTATAGTCTCCATTTCAGTTCCTTGTTTTGGTGTACCAGAATCTATATTATAGGATCCTAACCATAAAAGTTGTTAACCAAAAAAGGAACGACAATGGAGACTATAGGTCGTTCCTAAACCCCCCAAAGTAGGTGAAATAATGGCCCAATACCTTTTAAAGGCCATTATTCTACATACTGTGGGTCCAGGCTAAGCTTATTCTAGTAAGTTCATTTTTGTTACTATTCAGCCTAAACCCATTAAAGCCCTTGCGTTGCATGGATGCGGAAACAGGTTTAGAATTCCGGATGTAGAGAAGTACTGAAGCCCGCCCAAAAGTACGGCAAATACATTCGATAAGAAACGGCGCAGGTGAGATCAGACCCTGGAAATTTCTTATGGGGGCAACCTGGAAGTTAGAAATGTGAGATAGGTTCAGGGTCTGAATTGGAATTCTAAAACAGTATCCCCAGCCTCCAGACCCCCTCCAGCCCTCCAGCCCTCCAGCCCTCCAGCCCTCCAGCCCCTCCAGCCCCTCCAGCCCTCCAGCCCTCCAGCCCTCCAGAAATTCCGTGACATCTGGACGCTGAGCTAAGAAATTGCGATCTAGCGAGACCCCAATTTCTTGTTTGAAACGATTTCTTATTAAATGCGTTCACCGTAGGTAACATCACGGCCCAAAGACCTACAAACAAGCAACTACTGTACATGCTGTTGGGGTCCTTGTATTGGGGGGTTTCAGGATGAGGGCTTAGGCTAACCCACCCTGAACCCTCCACATGCCAGGACTGCATGCGAGACTGGCATGTTACTTGGCTACTGGCAGCAGTGGCCAAGCTCGGTACTTGCAAGCAATGTGTAGTTGCGTGCCGGGCTACAGGTACTTCAGCTTGGGATGCATACGTAATTCTTGCTGCAGCTGCGTTCCTGACAACAATTTTGTGTATAACTCTATAGCAGACAAAGAACCCTTATGTACTGCCATGGAGGGCGCGCACGCCATTTTCGCAACAGTGGCAAACAGTGTGATCCTGATGCTGTTTTCACTCACTAGGATGCCCAGTATTACCATCATTCCCTTTTTGGAATCCTAGGTTCCTTAGTTATTAAGTTACCCAATACCAAAAAGGGAGCAATTTTTATTATTAGGTTACTGGGCATACTAGCTCAGTCCTGCACCCCCACTACCCTTCTATAGTCTCCTTAGGATTTTTTAATTTTCGTTCATATAAACCCAAGAGTATATTAAACATATCATTTTTATTATGGTTCTAAGGGGGGTATAGCCATGTTGAAGAGAGCCATGAACCCTTTATATAGCGTTCAGGGAAAAGCTGGGGCGGGCATGTCAACCAAAATGCTTAGGGTTTAGGGGTTTAGGGTTTGAACCCTCAAGCGTACTGCACTACTTAGATGCTCCGGCGACCTATGCAGTATAGGCTAAAGCGTTACAAATAAAGCTATGCGTGCACCTTCTCTGCACTAGCCTTGCCCTATATCCTCATCTGCTCTACTAGGTACCCTAAACCCTGTAGGCCCTAGACTCGACCCTAAACCCCAAATCCTAAGCCCTAAACCCTCAACACTATAAGCTCTATAAACTCTACAGGGTCTCTGCGACCTATCGGGGTAGGGTTGACGGCTGGGTCCTACAATTACGATGAGATGAGACGGTTTAGGGTTTAGGGTTGCCTTCAAACCCGTAGAAGCCCCAAAGCCCTTACAACCTCGATTTGGGAGTTTCCGAAAATTAGGGTTACCACGTTTTGGGGTCCTTTTTGTGAGGATAATTTTGGGTACTATTCTAAATTTTCGGATCCCCTATTTTCGGAAACTCCCAAGCCCTAAGCCCCAAACCCCTAAACCCTAAACCCCTAAGCCAGCTAAACCACCGGAAACTCCCATAAGACATACCCAGAGGCCCCATAGTAGTTCCTTTTTGGGATTACCCTGTAGGGTTCTATATGGGAACCCCAAGAAGGAACTACTTTGGGGCCTTTGGGTAACTTCACCCCAGCCTAAACCCTAAACCGTCCGCAATAGTACGCCCCAGGTAGGTGCCGTATTATAACAAGGACCCAAAACCCTAAACCCTAAACCCTAAACTCAAGGCATAGGCCGCCCACCTACTGTGGGTGGGCGGCGCTTAAGCCCCTCGACCTCGATGGCGCAGAGCGACCCAAGACGCCTGCCCGCCTCTCCACAGCCATGGGGACGGTAGCACCCACGTCAGGCCCGGTACCGGAGCAGGTTCTCCTCGGGACCAGTACTGGTCCCTATTAAAGTAAATACCCTCTTCACCATGGGGCCCTGGCCCTGTGGGGCTCCCCTCCCAAAAGGGACCCCCCAGGGGGGGCTTGGTGCCTGCAGCGAGCAGAGTTCAAGGACCTAGGTGCCTCCAGGCCGGTCCTAGGGGGGACTTGGACAAAAACTGTTTTTTTTGCCCCTGGCCTGAGCTGGCCCCCGCCCCCCCTGGCCCCCCCTGGCCGGCCCCCCCTGGCCCTCTCTGGCCTCCCCTGATCTGCCTTGCCCCCTTGCCGGCCTTGGCTCTCTGGCCTCTCACCTACCTGGCCCTGCACTGCTTTGCCCCGCCTGAGGTTGAAGAAAAAGAAAACCGTAGACTGAGTTTAGGTGCTAAACCCTAAAAGGAATAGGTTTGGGTGGTTTGGCCGCCTTAGACGGCGTGGGGTGGGAGAGTGAATAAAAAAAGCCAACCACAATCAGGCTCTAACATTGAATCGCTTGAGGACGATGCACTCGAAATTACACTGTCGCCAGCTACTCCCGCTTATGCGCCATTCTACGGCAAACCCTAAACCCTAAACCCTAAATGAGTGTTGTTCTTTTTGGGGGTTCTTGTGACAAGACTAGGAGGGCGATTAGCGAAAACTCGGTCGCTTAAAAAGTGCACACCCTTTCGATCGCGCGCAAGGGCGCGCAAGGGCGAACGCAAGCTATGCTCAAGGCTTGTTGTTAAGGTTGGTTCAAGAGTGATACTCAGCAGCGTTGTATGTAACCGGCCTACACCCTATAAACCCTAAACCCCGCGTAAACCCTAAGCATTAAAACTCTGTTATATAGTCCCTACATAAAACCCTAAACCCAAACCATGCAAGGACGTTCCGCTTCTGGAGTATGCGCTCTCATTCTTATATTTTGCAAGCCGCGATAGCAGAGTCGCGAACGGTTGAAAATTAGGTTCTGACACGGCATACTCCGCGCAAGATCGGCGCAAGCGCGCGCAAGACGGCGCGCAAGGTCGCCTGCCCAAAGCCATGGAGGACCCAACACAACTTCTTGAGCCTTGAAGCCCCAGTGTTGTACCTGCAGCCGAAGCTTAGACTCGAAGCCACCAAGCGTCAACAAACCGCAGTAACAAACCCTAGTCTTAAGAAACCCTCGCGCGCGCAAGCATGCCCGAGGAACGCGCAAGGGCGAAGCGCAAGGTATCCTAATTGGCATGCGTGGAACAAGGATATAGAACAACCCTCAAATCCTAAACCCGAAACCCTAAACCCACATTTTCAGGGAGCAGGAGGCGGCTGCATAGAAGCCGAGGCATCTGTTCGAATCTATCAGCTGGCACAGGCCACCTGCCAGGGGTTTCAGGGTTTAGGGCTTAGGGTTTTGGGATTAGGGCTTTGGGGTATAATGGTTTTTGGGTTTAGGGCAGGGCTTATGGTTGGGATTACGGTTTAGGGTATGGGGTTTAGGGTTTAGGGTAGGGTTTATGGTTGGAATTAGGGTTTAGGGTAGGGTTTATGGTTGGGATTAGGGTTTGGGGTATAGGTACCACGGTTTAGGGTTCAGGGTAGGGTTTATGGTAGGGATTAGGGTTTAGGGTTTGGTTTGAGGTTTGGATGTTCCGGGGTTGTCGTGCATGCAAGACCGACGTCTTCCAGGGAGTATTTAGGTGGGTTCAGAAAACGATATAAGGAGTTTGGGCTAGGGGGGCTTAGAGGCTGTAGAAGCCTTACCTACGGTCTCCATTGTAGTTCCTTTTTGGTTAACCAGAATCTATATTATAGGATCCTAACCATAAAACTGGTTAACAAAAAAAGGAACTACAATGGAGACTATAAGTAACATGCCGCCAGTCTTGCTCCTGTGTTCTCCGATCAAGGCTTCTCGTTCAATTTCGCCCCTGGACGTTACCCGTAACCACCAAAGTCCTACAGTGTTAGCGTTCCTATTCTGAAACCCTTATATATATAACCATGCCCAACAGTGACGTCTTTTCGGAAACAGGTATTCTGAAACTTAAACCTTCTTGTAACCATGCCCAACAATGCCCTTTTATCGGTTACAGGTAATGAACAAGTGCAACAAGCCTTAAACCCTGAACCCTAAACCCTAAACCCTGAACCCTAAGCCCTAAATCCTGAACCCTAAACCCCAAATCCTGAACCCTAAAACCTAAACCCTGAACCCTAAACCCTAAGCCCGACTCTGAACGACAGGCCTTGCGACATCGTGGGCACCTCGCTGCGCAGCTGGACCCTCTGCGAGGTAAGCAGAGTCGTGGCTTCGGCTCTGAAGAGGATCTCTGGTTGACGGTTTGGGGGTTTAGGGTGTCTGGTGGTTTGGGGTTTATGGTTCTTGGTTTTTGGGTGTTTAGGGTTTCAGGGGGGGATAGGGTTTACGGCTTGCGAGGTGCAGAGGTTGGTGTACCAGCTTATGGTTCAGGACTTAGGGCTCATAGGGACTCATAGGGTATATATATATATATATTTGTTTTTATAGGCTCAATGGTTCAGGGTCACCCTCAAGGTCGTATAGCAAGGTTATCGTTAAGACGATTCAGAAGGTGTCCAGAAGCCTTACGACAGATACAGGTGGTTGCTGCTACTTTAGTATGGACACTGATTGAAATTTATTTAAGATCGGAAACGCATCCTTCAACATTGACGCTCCGAGCATTTCTCCCCAAATGACGATGGTAACACGAACGGGCAGACTCATCATGCTAATAGTTTTATCGGTAGGACCATCCCATAAGCCCTTAAACCCTAGGATGAGTGCGACATCAAAAAAGGTCCTACAGCTAAGGGTCGTACGTTTGATGATATATGTCCTGCATTACCCAGAAACGGGAATGTATCATAATTCCAACAGTCTAGGGTCATTACTTTAATGCAGGTCTTATATCATCAACAGTACTGCTTGGAGTCCTATATGAGGGTCCCATGTTGTCTGACATTGCCATATTCTGGGGGTTTCCGACCTAATTGAGGGTACTATGTTAGGGTCCCCTCTTCTCGGAAACTGCCATAAATATGAAGAATTGGTTGTCTTGTGTGCAGAAGATCAACGAAGACTGCAAGACAAGGGTGTTGCAGCTGCTGCAGAATCCCGATGCTGGAAAAGCACTCCCAATCATGGAACTACATGGCTATCGTTCGCAATGCATGCTGATGGTGATGATGATGATGATGACACTGACCATCGTCATCTTCACCAGCATGAGAATCAGCATCATCATCCCATTCATCATCATCTGCCCGAGTAAGCACCAGCACAATTCCTTAGGGTTCCTTGTCGTAGTTATACTAGATAATTATACCCCAAGCCGTATAGCAATTGTATGTTAAGGCCCTCATATTACATGGAGCATGCGCTTGTTGGCCTCACGGAAGCAAGAGTACTAGCTATCGCACCAATCATCTGGGCTGAGGACCTACTCGAGATTTCTGGAGTTGGAGGTTCGCGAACGTCACAGCAGTATTTTAGTGGCCAAAATAATTACCCATACTATTTTAGGGGTTCCTTACAAGTATAGTATTATGGGCCCCAAAGCCCTATTCGAATTGTTAAGGCCCCTAAAGTAGTCTGTGCAGCATGCCGCGGAGGAAATGAAAGCTTTCGCAGTTTCCCTTGTAGTTCCATCTTTTGGTAAACCCATTTTCTATACTAGGGTCCTAACCATAAAATTGGTTGACCAAACGAAGGAACTGCAATGGAGACTTTCGGCTATAGGCTAGGATGCCCAGCAGTACCCTTATTCCCTTTTTGTAGTCCTAGGTTCCTTATACAGTTACCAGTTACCCACTACCCGAAAGGAAGCCCTTTTGATTCCTAGGTTACTGAGCATCCTAGGAGGTAGCATCCTAAGCAGAGCTGAGTCTGTGAGGTTTGCAGAACACATTTCTTTGCCTAGGCAAGCTCTCCCCCAAAGAGCCCGTGCACTGGCGCATTGGCGGGCGTCACGGTTCGAAGGTCGTTCCTTGGCCTCTGAAATCAGGCCGTGGCGGGGTTCATGTTGCGACAAAGACCGCAAACCGGTGCCATTTTGATTGCCCAATTTATCTGTAATTAGTTACCATCGGTATCGTTCTGTGTGCATAAGTTGCTCTTCAGTTCGCTCAGTCTGTAAAGAACGAGAACCACTTATGCAAGGTTTGTGAGAACTCGGCTTGTATCGGCTTGTACTGAGTTCATTATGCATTTCAACGTGATGGTTCCCTTTCGGCAATCAAGCGCGTCATTTGAGCAGCACAAGCAATGGAGAGAGCACCCGGACAACGTACCTTAGCCGATCTACAAGCACCACTTCGCCTGCTTTGCCGGTAGGCCCAGCCCTGGCTAAAACCTGATGTATGCTGCTGATCCTGCTGTTGTTGTGGGTTACGTACGACATCAGCAGCAGCAGCAGCTGCAGGAGAGGATGTGCAGCTGCAGTGGTAGTAGCTGAGGTTATCGCGGTAGCCGTAGGAGGCGGAAGGCATTCTGGCCATGCAGGGCATGACCCCCCACGATCATCCTCAGCATCATCAGGTTTTCTGCGCGACAACCCTCACCATATCATAAATCCTCATCCTCATCGTTACCATCGGCTGCATCCTATTTCTTGGCATCATTGCCCTTTGCTGCGCGACCTTCTACTGCGCCCTTGGCTGTAGCTGTGCTTCAATCAACGCCATAGTGGGAATCTGTGTGCAGGATCGTAGCAACTGGGGTGCTTATTTGGGACATGCTAAGCTAGCACTACTTCTCGACTCAGCATGCTCGTAGTGTAAGGAGGAATTAGTGTCTATGCTTACCGCGATACCAAATAAATTTGAATACAGTGGCCATAGAAAGAAGAAGCCCGACAAATTCAAAGTCAGACTCCGGAAGCAACAGACCAAACGCCTAAAGATTGTCCGGAACCACAAGAAAACCCTGCAGAAGCTTGCAACTCCACAATGGGCTCTTCCTGAGGCGAGTATCGATGTGAACCGGCCTCTCGGCGGGAATCTCGCGCTTCTTCTGGGTTTCACTTACATAGCGATATCAGAATTGGGGTCTGGTTTGGAGCATGCAGGTTTAGGCGTTAGGATTTGCGGATGTGTGTGTGTGTGTTTTGGATGAGGCTTCAAGGTTTAGATTCTGAAGTTCACATAGTCTGGATTGGGCTTCTGGGGACTAACTCAGGGCTTCTGCAAGATTTTGTGGGGGTTGCGAACAAGTCTATACGGCCCCGACCCTTGGGGGGGGTTCGGACCACTGATTTATGACGGTTCGTTTACAAAGCTTCGATCAGACACCAAACCATGCGAGATGCAAGGTTTGTATGACTGCACTTAGGGTCGGTTTTCCGGCTAATGGCTCAGCCGGTCAGTCGTCCCTTATTATTGGAGTTAATGACAGAAATCTACAGACACTTGCCGTTTATCCTTCTAGGGAGTTCGGGTTTAGGGCTTTAGGGGCTTCGGGTTTCGGGTTTAGGGCTTTAGGGGTTTAGGGTTAAGGGTTTAGGGTTAACACCCCCGCTGCCCGGTAACCTGACACCCTTCTCGTGGCTGCAACTATGTTTGCCTTGCGATTAGATCCCTGTAGCGTCATAGCGCCACAGCCTTTCACTGTAGTAGGGTCACAGCTACAAACTAAACCCTAAACCCTAAACCGTGAATCTTGATCAGGCTCAGAAGAGTTTCTAATTACCCCAAGGCCGGGACCCGACAGATTCCCACAGAACCCAAGACCCCTTAATTCAGGCATATACCTCAAACTATAGAGGCCTTGACTTTATGATTTAAGGTATACCCCAGTTACTGAGGTGGAAAGTACGCAAAATGTCGGTATTTGGTATTTGGATTTGGGAGTTTCGGAAAACAAGGGGTACCTTATTTAGGGGTCCGTATAATAAGGATCCTACTATTTAGGATGCTATATTCGGGTCCCCTATTCTCGGAAACTCCCATTTAGGTCTACCAGAATCTTAGCTGAGGTTATCCCATCTGTGAGTTTTACCATGACCTACGGTTGATGATGTAAATCCTGCATGACCCATAATAAGGAATATACCATAATTCCCATAGTTTAGGGTCCTTAAGGTAATGCAGGATTTATATCATCAACCGTAGTTTCACCATGACCTACTTGCCAAGTCCCCCGATCCTTGAAGCAACCCTAAACCCAAAGGTTTCTTCGAGGGGAATTCCCCGCAAGAAAATTCCTGGAGGTCTCTGGATACCATAACCTTCCCTAAGCCTTGAAAATCATGCTAAACATCCTAAACCCTGGCTACCTGGTTTTTTTTCACGCTTATCCGAAGTGCGTATATATTCGAATATAGGGCTTCCACATTTTGAGTTACGATTATGATTTGGGGAAGGATCCCCCGGCACAGATCCCCGAAACGAACCCTTAAAGGAGCCCTTAAAGGGACCCCATAAAGGAAGCCCTTAAAGTATCCCCCACAAAAGTACCGAAAGACCCTCTGGGGTTGAAACTGGGTCCCTCGGTAGGTCCTTCAGCGACTCCTGGGTACTTGGAGGGTCTGGGGACTTAGTAACTGGTGTTTTTAGGGACTTATAAGCAGGGTACTTTTGAGTCTACTTACTCACTGCTTACTAAGTCCCCCGACCCGCCAAGAGGCCCCATAGTAGTTCCTTTTTGGGATTACCTTATAGGATTCTATATACGAACCCCAAAAAGGAACTACTTTGGGGCTTTAGGGTATTTATAAATACTTCTAGGGGTCCAAAAGCTACGAACCCCGATTCAAGGTCCAGGCACAGCGTGGCTCACAGGAAGTACACCAACGCAAGAGAAGACGTAAGCACCTGTAAGGCCGAGCTTCTCAGGGCTGCACAGGGGTTTATGAAGGTTTCATAGTTACGTAGTTTCCGGTCTGCGAACGTAGTTGAAATCGAATCCTGAATCCGAAAACTTAAACCTTAAATCCTTGATCCTAAACCCTAAGCCCTAAACCCTAAATTCCAAGCCCTAAACCACAAATCCTAATAAAACAAACGTAAGCCCGAAACCTTTAGTCTCCTGTCTGAGGTTGCTGGCCAACTATCCGGAGCTTTGTGCTGAAAAGCCCAAAGACCAAGAGTTTAGCCATTTAGGGGTTCAGAGGTTTAGGGTTTAGGGGTTCAGAGGTTTAGGGTTTTAGGGGTTCAGAGGTTTAGGGTTTAGGGGTTCTGAGGTTTAGGGTTTAGGGGTTCAGAGGTTTAGGGTTTAGGGGTTCAGAGGTTTAGGGTTTAGGAGTTCAGAGGTTTAGGGTTTAGGGGTTCAGAGGTTTAGGGTTTAGGGGTTCAGAGGTTTAGGGTTTAGGGGTTCAGAGGTTTACGGTTTAGGGGTTCAGAGGTTTAGGGTTTAGGGGTTCAGAGGTTTAGGGTTTTAGGGGTGCAGAGGTTTAGGGTTTAGGGGTTCAGGGGCTATACAGGGTAGGGGTCTTGGGTTTTTGGGTTTCGGGCCCCCAAAACCATATTCTAATCATTAAGGGCCCCTATATCCCTAAATCCCTTGTAACTACCTCTTAACTATAGTCTCCTTAGGAGTTGTTTCTTTCTGTTCATGTAAAACCCCAGAGAATATCAAACATAGTTTTGCTTTTATGGTTCTAAGGGGGGTATAGTTAAAGGAACCCTTTAAAAGGGACCCTACAGTTGATGATCTAAGTCCTGCAATACCCCCCAAAAAGGAATATTCCATAATTCCCTTACTTTAGGTTCCTTAAGGTAATGCAGGATTTATATCATCAACCGTATGTAAAGACTCGAGACCGCTACGGAAGCAACATGGGGTCAGGCTCAGGGTCTCGGGCCTTCGTTCCAGAAGGGGGCTTCCTGCTTCAGGTTCCAGCTCAGGGGTTTAGGGGGTTTAGGGATTTAGGGTTTAGGGGTTTAGGGTTTAGGGGTGTAGGGGTTTAGGGTTTTGGGTGTTCGTTAACTTCCGTATGTTGTATAGTTTGATTCTGAGCCCGTCTGTGCAGGGAAGACTTGTTATTTTTTCGAAATTTGAGTGCTGAAGGGGCTTAGGGTTTGAGGATTTACGGTGTGGGGCTGTGTTGAGAAGCGACCGCGTCGGGACGTGTCCGGTATGTATGTGTATGTGTCCGCATGCATGCATGCCTGGATTTATGTATTTCTATGTATTGACGTGTATGTATAGATTATATAGCAGATGTAGACACACACACACACACACGCACATGCACGTGTGTGTATGTATATATATATATATATACTTTTGTATATGGATGGTTGTCAAAATTGTGGTACCTTTCTGGGTACCGGGTTTTTTAAGGCAGCTATTATTCAGGGTAGCCAAAAAGGGACCCTAATTTTGACAACTACCCGTATATACATATATGTACAAATATACATATATATATATATATATATATGAATGCACTTATATGTACCTGTATAAATCATAGATATGTATCAGACTCGCAACGATAAGCCCCTTCGAGAGCTCCCCAAATTCCGTGCTCCGTTCAATGGTTTGTGGCATCTCTTCGGGATTTAGGGTGTAGGTCTGGGGTTTACGACTTGGTCACTCTGACCGAACAGGCCTGACCACGTAAAAAACGCCTGAGTCTGTAATCCTGGCATTTTAAACTTGTCTCCGGCACTACTTAGAATACCAACTGCCCCTTGCAACAGCGAAGCAGTAGGTGGACATATGCCTGTTACTATTGTAGCTCCATACTCTATACATCATAGTGCCCTTTAAGGGAGGATTAGTAGGTTATCTACCCCCCTTGAAGCCCCAGCCCATAAGGATATTATAACTGTCGTCAAAAGATAAAGGAGGGACCCCTAATAAGGACCCCTAGGTATATACCCTTAAAATAGCCATTATATACCCACTATATAGCCCGTTATAGGGTAGGAGTCCCCATTAAGGGTCCCTCCTTTTCCCCTTTGATGTAGGTTGTCTTCAGACTACCGTGCCGAGGACAGCATCGATCTCAGCGTCTTTGCCCTTGACGGTTTCGCAGAGTCTGACCGTCTTCCAGAAGGAGACGCGGGCGCTAAGCTCAAAGCCCTATTAGCCCTTGAACCCTATGAAGCTTAAAACCTAGACCCTGAGACCCTAAACCCCAAATTCCAAACCTTGAAACCTTACCCTAAACCCTTAAACCTAACCCTAAACCCAAAGCACCTTCAAACTCTACTATGGTTTACCTTAGACTTGGCGTCGGAAGCTCACAGAGCATTGAATTCTTCGACTGACTTTGATATGGGAGTTTCCGAAAATAGGGGACCCTAATATAGTACCCCAAATAGTAGGATCCTTATTTTAAGGAACCCAAAAGAAGGTATCCCTAATTATCGGAAACTCCCACATATCAGACTGCGGCCTGGGCCAAACATTTCCAAGGGGTTTAGGGCTTTTGGGCTTACAGTTTAGGGTCTAGGGTTTATTCTACTATGAACCTTAAACTTGGTGGGAGAAGCTCTCAGGGGATTGAATCGTGCGACTTTCCCGAGCACTTTGAGAAAGCATCTCCGGCCTGAGAGCCTTTCCGGTGCAGGGGCCCCATTACGTAGGGGCTCTAGATGAAGGTTTGCCTTATTCGCAAATTGCTTTCTGATGTTCACATACATAGGCGAACCATTGTTAAAAGCTCTTAGCTCTAAACTCTAAAGTCTAAAATTCCCTGGACCTTCAATGAACTCAGTTGTTAGGCGTCGCGATCCCCACTTCCTGGCCCTCCAATGTCGATGGCTGGACGCTGAGGACTTCTGCCTTATGGTTACAGCGCCGGTCGTTTGGCTTTGCTTTTTCTTGGCAGGGTGGTAGTATACTAAAATTTTGCTAGATGTCCATCAAATCAATTTATGAATCGCCGAGTGCATGCAGGGGCTTTCATTTTTCCTCAGAATTTCAGTTGCCCTTCATTCGGGAAGAGTGTCATCGCCGAAGTAGCCTTAACCCTAACCGCCCTAACCTAGGGCTCAAGATAGCCCAAAGGCCTTATATAACATGGTCTTGGGGCTCAAAAAGCCTCATAATATGCGTGCTTAAAGCCTGAGGATAATGGGCTCCAACTCCACTAGAAACTCGAGGACTGGTGTCAAGATTACCCCCCACATCACATTGCATCATGTGACGTCATATTATGTGGATGTTATGTCATAGTACACCATAAATGTAGTATAGTACAGTAAAGTAGATTATATTACTGGGTTCCCAAACAGATATGTCAATCGCGGGGATGATTTCAGGTGGATTCCTTGCGGGTCGAGGTTTCGCCATGTACCCAACAGCTACCAATCCGGCAAAATGCAAAAATCCCATTTGTTGGAAGAAACCAGTTGATGACGACAAAGCCAACGAAGTAGTGGACATCGCTTCCTAGAACACACTACGAGCATCTTATGAAGCAATGTCGCAAACACAGCTCAACGGACGCAATACCCCACTCTGTAGACCGTACACCCAAAGCTCCAAGCCTTAAAAGCCACCCTAAAGCCGAAGCCCAAACCTTAAACCCTACATGCGCACTAAATAAACCCTCAACCTTCAAAACACTCAAAAGCCCAAGATTTCAAGTCCTAATTGCACACTAAACCCTCAACATTACATGTGGGTGGTTGTCAAAATTAGGGCCCCTTTATGGGTCCCTAATATAGTGCGGCACCTAATCTTTAGGGTACCCAAAAAGGGACCATAATTTTGACAACCACCCATGTGTGTTTTGCAGGACCTTTGTAGACCGCCTCTGTCGAGCATACGTCGGCTCCCTGAGCATCGAGCGCCTTGGCGCCGAGTTTCAGGGTGTTCTTGAAGGGCTCGTAATCCTGCGTTTCGAGTACCATACTTGAATACTTTTTTGGGGGTACCTGTTCCTTAAAGCGGCCATTATGAAATAAAAGTCTATACTTGTTTCTCCCTGGTTACTTCAAAGTCCAGTACTGCAACCCTCAAGAGCCCTTTATTGATCTCCCTGGCTAATTACTTCAAAGTCCAGTAATGCAACCCTCAACGGCCCTTTATTGATGGAGCCCTCATGGTCCTTGATAGTGGGTATTTGGGTAGTTGGGGGTCTGGATACAGGGCTGTAGTGTTCCAACCTCAAACGCAAAAACCTAAGCTCCAAACCTTAAGCCCTCTGTACTAAGCCCCAGACATTCTTTTTTCGTTTGTCTTCCCACTAAGCCCTAAGCCACCCTAAGCCCTAAAGCCCTTATGAAACCCTTTACGGGAACCCCTCAATCCAAGGGGAAAAGGGAAGGACCCTTAATGCGGACCCCTGGGTATATACCCTTAATACAGCTATTATATACCCATTATATAGCCCATTATAGGGTAGGGGTCCCCATAGAGGGTCCCAACCCTAAACCCTAGACCGCAAAGTAGGTGAAATCATGGTCCAAAACCTAGAAAAGGATATTGTTCTACACACTTTTGGGGCCTCTGGGTAAGCTTCAAGGCAACGGGGAAGGATCCGTTCCACAAAGCAGGCATCAGCACATCGACAACCCGGTGGAAAGGCATGGGGTTTGGGCTGCAGCGACTGAGGGTCAGGGTCTACGATGGTTTAAAGAGTTTAGGGTTCAGGGTGTATGTTTTAACATTTTGATTGAGAGGTATACCCTAGAAGAAGCACTAGGTTCCTGAGTAGTACCCTTTATCGGGAAAAGGGCACCCTTATTACAAAGGCGCTACTCAGGAACCTAGGTTAAGGCCATCTCCCGTTATTTGGAGGGCCTGGAGCTGCGAGTAGGGCTTGGGCAGGGTTTCAGGTTCGGTGCTTTGGTTCAGGGTTGAGTCTAGGGTTTAGTGTTTTTGAATGAGGGTGTAGTGAGGTGTTATTCTTCAGTGTACAGGGTTTAGTCATGTTTTATGGTTCAGTGTTATGGGTATGGTTTAAGCAGGGTTTGGGACACAAAGACTCGAAACCCGACGTCTTCCACGAAATACGGCGGCCGGCGTCCTCTGTTCTGGGGGCCCGCGGCGTGGGCGAAGTGTCCGGGCCTCAGTCCGTCTGGGAGAGGGCACCGACGCAGGAAGAGTCGGAGCGTCGCAGCAAGCCAGTCACGGCCCTGGACACAGAATGGAAAGTCGAGACCGTGTCGAAGCAAAAGAAACCGTATCCTTCGCCTTCTCCGGTCAGCCGCCGGAATTCCCTGGCTGTTTTGGAGTCCCTTGTGTACTGCTTCGAGAATGGCCGTGGTGGCGTGGCGAGGCACATCAGCACTGGCAGACGTCAGCTTTGGCATCGCAGGATCGCTGAACCCCTAAAACTTAAATCCTAACAATCCCTCTAACAAATCCCGTAGTAGATCCCTACTGGATGCATATAGAAACCCTGAGCCCTAAACCCTAACCCCTGACCCTGGTTGTAGATCCCTACGCAATCCCTAAGCTCTGACCCGTACGTTACAACCTGTATAGCAGACTTACTAGATACCCTAAACCCTAAGTCCTTATAATCCCCAAAAGTAGATCCCCTCGTCCATCCCTAGAATCCCTAAACCCTAACCCCTATCTAGAGAGCTCCTATAGAAGCCTTGAGCCCACAATGGATCCCAGATTAGTAGATCCCCAAAACCCGTGCACACTCACTCCTATAGTGAATCCCTATGTAACCCTAAACGCTAAACCGTAAATTCTAACCCTTGTAATCCCTAGAATCCCTAAACCCTAAGCCCTATAGTAGATCCCTAGGTTCGTCTATATATATATATATATACACACGTAGTAACCCCTTATATATATATATATACCTATATATATATATATATATATATATATATATATATATATATATATGGTCACCCCCCCCCCCCGTGACAGACCATCCCCTTCAAAACATCGCTCCCACCGGCGTGTTCGTGCTTTTTCCGGGGTATCGAGTTTGAGCCCTCCGAACGTATCTGTGGAACCACCAAAAGACTGAGACCCGTTGACAGACCATGCCCTCTCAACTCAGTCGTAGCGCATGGTCTGTGATCGGGGGGAGGTGGCACTCAGCTTTCAAAAACTCAATTCCAAAATTTCCAAAGTTTCCAAAATTCTCTCCCCTAACTTTCCGGATTTCCAAAATTTCCAAAATTTCCAAAAATTCAAAAATTTTTAAAATTTCCAAAATTTCCGAAATTTCCAAAATTTCCAAAATTTCCAAAAAGTCAGCCCTTGTGTTTTGGAAAAATCCTGTCGGCTAGGTCGGGCCGTTTTGGAAATTTTGGAATTTTTGGAAATTTTGGAAATTTTGGAAATTTTGGAAATTTCGAAAATTTCGGAGATTTCGGAGATTTTGGGAATTTTGGAAATTTTGGAACTTCTGGAATTGATTTTCAATGGGCTGATTGTGACCCATCGGATGACAGACCATGCACTACGACTCACTTGCAAAGGCAAGGTCCGTTTAGACGATTGTCAGTGTTTATCTATTTTTCTAAATTGGTACTCCTACGAATACTATTACCAATACTCATTCTGACATTGATCATTTGCTGACTGCCCAAGCTAATACCAGCATTAACACTAATATTTACACTTTTTTAAGCCAATACGAATAGGCACCATACAAATAACAAATACTAATAATGATTAATACTGACGTTCATACTCCTACGCATATCAATAATTATGCCCATATTGGTAGTAGTGTATTTTAATTCCAATACTAATACACACCTGCATATACCAATGTACATAAATATACATACCACTATATTAAAGTACAAATACATTAGCTCATGCATGTATTTATCTGTTAGTATTTTCATGTAATCAGGAGTAATACTAATAAAAGACAAACGTTCATGCGAGTACATAACCTCATTTTAATATTAGCACTCGCACTAGCACTATTACTAATACCAATCACACTGTTTATGCCAACACCAAGATTTACATAAGTATTGATACTCCTACGGATACTACTGCGTATACTCTTATGCTGTTAACAGTAATGCTGTCACCAATACTAATACTGACATTGATAACTTGCTGAATATTCAAGATAATGCCAGTATTAATACCATTATTAACACTTATACTAAGGCTAATGCGACTATGGACAATCCTAATACGAATATTAACATTAATACTCCTACGAATACCAATAGTCATATTCATATTGATGTGAAGATTAATACCATTACAAAAGACACGTGCATATGCTAATGCACACCAGAACACATACCATTAACTTAAAATGCCGATATGTATCAATGCATTCATGTACTGATGTTTTAGGACAAGCATATACCCATATACCAATGTAACAATACACTACTTGTTAATGTGTGAATATACTATACTAGTATGCTATTATACTAGTATGCTACTATACTAGTATGCGACTACTGTAATATGCAAGTATACCGTCGTGGCAGGTTAGTGTACTAATATGACAACATACTGATACACTTATAAATCTTTAGACAATACACGTATATTGCATATACTAGTATACTAATACACGAATGTACGAATATACTGGTATGTTAATATACTAATATATTAATACAGCAATATACTAGTTTACTCATGCATCAGTTGTACTAAAGTATTAAATCTACGAATATGCAAGTATACAAATATGTTGCCTCTCGAACACATCAATGTGTTGATGTACTAACCTGCTGATATACGAAACTATCAGAATAGTAACATATCGAAACTAACTCTAATTTTGATACCAATACTAGCACCTCTGCCATTATTAACTGATATTAAACCCAGCATGAAGACTGATACTAATACTAGCAGTGGTACTATTACTGGCATTGACACTGGCACTAACACTAAGACTAAAACGAAGATGAGCACTAACATTAATGTATACTTACTACTGTCGATATATACATATATATATATATATACATACTTACAGTAAACACTAATACTATTGCTGATACTAATACTAATACCAATATTAATACTCATACTCATCCTATATCAATGCTACCACAAAACTCATAACTCACGTGTCGCGCATCTGGTCCATGCGTCCTCAGTACATGGCATGTTAAAAGTATACTTGGTATATGTACTGTAAAGGATTTGCTTTACAGATTGTCGTCATGTGTGGTGTGTTTAGATGCAATATCTCAGCCTAGTCACCGAACGAGAGTACACAATCACAAGGGCATGGTCTGTCAACGGGGGGGTGAGCATATATATATATATACATATATATATATATATATAGATAAGCCCTAGACACTCCTAGAGATCCCTGCTAGAATTCCCTAAGCCCTAAACCCTAAACCCTAAAATCCTTAGAGATCCCTATACCCCTTGATAAGGAATATACCTTAGATCATAACATGAAGGCTTCTATGATTGAAGGTATATTCCTTAATTATTGGGCTTTCTGGGCCCCTCAACCCTGAAATAACCCCAAAACCCTCAAACCCTGAACCCTGAGCCCTGAACCTCAAACCCTAAACACCAAACCTTAAACCCTAAACCCCTTCTAGACTTCCCGGCGCCAGCCCTAATGCCCTAAACCCTAACCTTTGTAATCCCTAGAGATCCCTAGGATTCCTGGAACGCCAGGCATTTGCTACATCCTCATAGAACCCTGAGAGTATCCCTTAAAGGAACCCTTTAAAGCAACCCTGATCGAATCATTAAGGCCCCTCCTAAACCCTTATAAGCCCTAAACCCTAGACCTTTTCCGGTGCTAGGCATTGGCTCGAAGATCGGGTCGAAGCCTGGGCGGGCTGCCCTCCCGAAGCGCCAAAGCGGCGAAAGGCCCGGGATTTCCTTGGGATGAGGGTTTAAGAGTTTAGGGGTTATAGGGTCTAGGGTATAGGGTTTAAGGTTTCAGGGCTTTGGGGTGTAAGGGTTAAAGGGTTTAGGGGTTTAAGGGTTTAAGGGTTTGAGGTCTTATAGGGTTGAGGGTATAGGGTTTGCATTTTAAGGGTTTAGGAGTTTAAGGGGTTTAATTACGGGTTTAGGGGTTTGGGGCTTATAGGGTTTAGGGGGTTTATGTGAGGGTTTGAGGGTTTAAGGGTGTAGGGGTTTAGGATTTGTGGGTTCAAGGGTTGTGGGTTTAAGGTTTAGGGTTTAGGGTTGAAGGGTTTGGGGGTGTAGGGTTTAGGGTTTAGGTTTAGGGTTTAGGGGTTAAGGGTTTAAGGGTTTAGAGGTTTAGGGTTTCAGGCTTAAGGGGTTTAAGGGTAAAAGGGTGTAGAGGTTCAGGATTTGAGGGTTGAAGGGTCTGGGGTTTATAAGGTCTAGGGTTTAGGGGGTCGTTAAAATTTTAAGTTCTAGGGTCGCTAGGGATCGACTAGAGGGGTTCGGGTGTGAGGTTTAGGGTCTCTAGGGATATCTGGGCCTTGATCGTTGGAATACTATACAAGGGCTTGCCTGCGGGTGCATATGTCTCTTGGGCTAGGTATGTTCCCTAAGGGTCCATGTACCTAAATAGTATATACATTGGCCTCAAGGTACTCCCTATATGGGTACATTGGGCCCGAAGTATATACTATTTGGGTCCATAGACCCTTAGGGGTTGTTATGAAAGGCGAGAGTGTCTGGGAAGTCTGCCCCTCCTGTGGCACTGATGTGGCCAGCAAGGGTCCCCTTGTGGTGGGAGTGTGCAGCTTTGGGTCGTCCCCCCGAACCTCCGTCCCTTGAGCCAGGGACAGAAGGTGCTCTCTTGGCCTTCCGGGCCGCTGCAAGCGTCATGATGCGCCGTCTTGGACTTCGTCGCGTCGGTTCGGGCTAAGGATTTGGCCCGTCTAAGGTGACTTGTGGCCCTGGGTGCCATTTCTGCAAGGAGCTCTCGCGCTCTGCGCTCCGCCTGGGGACGCCTTCGGGCCTCTACTGCAGCTAGGGAATTTTCAGGCTGCTTCGGGGGCCTCAGCTGAGGTTCCGCAGCCGTGATGACGCATGTCATTGACTATTGTGGTCTACGGCGAAGTCTACACGCACACCTGCTTACGGTGTTACAGGAGTCTTTTGAAGGGTTGGATAATGTTCAATAATGGCTTAGTAGGGTTTTATATGGCTGCAGGGCTTGGGGTTTTAGGGTTTAAGGATATATAGCTCATACGGCTGGCTTGACGGTCAACGAAGTTCACGGTCTAAGAGCTGAGTTTGGGGCTGAGAGTTGTTGCCGAGAGCGGAGTTTAGGGCAAATACTTAGCCGGGCAACCCGAACTGCCGTCCCTGGGTTTCGAGTACCATACTTGAATGCTTTATATGGGTACCTGTTGCTTAAAGGAGCCCTTATGAAATAAAAGTCTATATTTTTTCTTCCTGGATACTTCAAAGTCCAGCTTCAGACCCTGAACCATTAAGCCCGAACTCGCAGAATCCTCAACCAGCACCCCAGAGCTGCAACCCTAAACACCTACCTTTTAATGCCGTGAACTCCAACTCCGAAACCCTGGGACCTACCACTTAAGACCGTAAACTGCAACTCCCTAGCCCTCCAACCCTTCATGTAGCCAGTGTTTTGTCACCGCCTACTCAACAGTATGGCTTTAGGCTACAGGTGCAACTCATATAAAAGATCGTAGAAACACTTACAAACACCGTTGAAACCTATAGAAACTTATTGCACTCGCCCGGACGAACCCATGTTATTACACCCTTAAAGCATTTGTTCAGGACCTCTTCATCGTCAGTACTGCATGTGCACGTCTTAACATGATGAGTTGTTGTTCTTTGAGAAATTTCTCCTTCCTGGCTCAGGATCCGACAGCCCGGCTTTTGAAGGCGATTGCAGGGTCTGGAGGGTGCAGGGCAGTATGCTGCGAATAGTGTTCCGCTACTGCTGCAGCACGACATCGAGCAGTTGCAGCAGCGGAAGCAGCTCCTCCAAGCTGAGTCTTGGAGCCTGGAATTGCGCTACGAAAAAAAGGCACGTGAGTTCGAGCACAAGGCCATCGATTCACTCCTCGACATCTACGCTGGAGCGGAGGTCAAGCCGGCGCGACAATCAGAGACATCCTACTGCTTGGAGGGTCGTGGGACTTAGTAAGTAGGTAGTGAGTAGACCTATAAGTACCCTAAAAGGGACCCTAATTGGGGTTATGGTACTTATAAGTCCTTAAAAGAACCAGTTACTAAGTCCCCCGACGCAAGTACTGCGCTACGAGGACGAGTACGAGTCGCAGTGTTGGACAGACGGCCCCGTGGTTTCTTCTGGGCTGACACGGAGCGTGGAGCCTTCACGGCGGCGTCGATTTGAACCATGAATCCTAAACCCTACAGCCTAAGCCCTAAGCTCTAAAACCCGAAAACCCTAAGCCCGAAAACACTAAACCCTAAACCCCAGCCACCACAATGTAGGAACCTGATGAATGAAACCCTGGGCGTTGGGCGTGTAACCCCGAAATACTAGGATTCATATAAGGACCCCAAATACCCAGAGATCCCAATACCCCTTAATCAAGGAATATGCCTTAAATCATACTATTAAGCCCCCCATAATTTAAGGTATATTTCTTAATAAAGGGGTATTGAGTTCTCTGGGTAAAGGCCCAAGGTTTCTTAATCCGGTTCCTACATTGGCCTCAGAGGCCCTGCACCGGCTGCTTCGAGCGGAAACCTTCGAGCGCTTCCTTGGTGAGCGCTTTGCCAAGGCGGGGGTACCCAGAGAACCCAATACCCCTTAATTAAGGACTATGCCTTAAATTATAGGGGCCTTAATATTATGAATTATAGGGGCCTTAATATTATGAATTATAGGGGCCTTAATATTATGAATTATAGGGGCCTTAATATTATGATTTAAGGTATATTCCTTAATTGAGGCGTGTTGGGATCTCGGGGTGAACGGTTCAGGGTTTAGAGTTGGGGGTTTACAGGGAACTCCAGAAAGTTGGAATATGGTTTCATGGTAGGATACACTATAATTTACCATAGAAGGGTTAGGATAATCATATTCCAACTTTCTGGCTTTTACCTTAGTGTTTTTGAGGGTTTGGGGTGAGGGGTGGGTTCGGGTTTTTGAGGGTTCAGGGCTCAGGGTTTTTGAGGGTTTAGGGGTTTAGGGCTTTGAGGATTTAGGGTTTAGGGTTTTAAGGTTTTTGACGGTTCAGGGTTCAGAGGTTTATGTAAGGGTGCCATGGATGTCCTTAAGGTTTCCTTTAAGGGTTTGATAAGAGTGCTTAGGGTTTGAATAGGGGTTAGAGGTTTGGGGGTTTCGGGTTTAGGGGCTTCGGGGACGTAGGCTGATGCTTTCGGTGGACGACACGGGTGGTTCTTCCAAGGCTCGAGGCGTTTCTGCAATGGTTGGTAGAGGACTGCTTCAGGCTTGCAGGATTGTTCAAAGAGGTGAAACCGAAACCATATAGCAAAGCAGTGAGTAAGAATGTCCTGGGTGTGTTCATTCTACAACCACATACATACATCCCCCCTGCTGGTATTACTAAGGCCCCTCGAGTACACCGAACACCCGTGAACATACTTTAGACCAGTACCGCACTTCTAGTAACCCATTATCATCATGAAAGCCGCTGATTTGGACACAACCTATTAACTTCTTGGCATACGTACTACGCACTATGTACTAGTGGAATTAGGGGTTAGTGCGCAGGGCAAATCCAGTGTTGTTCCGACAACTGTCGCTCCTATCTCCTTGGGGTACTGGTGGTCTCTTTGGAACTTTCTCTATCCCTGCAAAGCATTGGGAGTCGTATGGGAGTTTGGAAAACTTGTGGGAATCTAAAAGCTTTGGGGCTTTAGGGGTTTAGGTTTCCGGGAATTTTGATGTTGGTGGCCCTTCGATGATCATGAGCTTTGCATACAAAGCCTATAGACCCTAAAGCCTACGCTGCTGCATGAGAAGCCGGAAAAGCTGAACTTGGGAGCCAGGACCCAGACTTGCTATGCCTTAATAACCAGCATAGGGTTTGGCGCCCATTTTCCTACAATTCTAAGAAGTAACTCCTCAAAATAGTGTTGGTAATTATGTAATTAGGCTCCTATGGTAGTCTAAGATGTATGGCCTCATTAAGGGTGAGTGGGCTGTCTGGGATCACACATTCTTCCAAGGATGCTGCTGCCTAAAAGTGCAAATCCTTTATCCCTGAAGAGCACTCTACGCCAAAGTGCCCAACGGGTCCAGGTAGGGTTCAGGGTTCCCTAAATGTCGGATGTGTCCAATGATAAGGTACTTGGGTAGGCCACAATTGATACTGTTGGTCGGTACTTGGGTGGTTATATGGTCATCACGTACTTGGGCGGTTTCGGCTGGCTGCGCCCTGAACATGACACCCTTCACTGGTTCGTAACCTGCACCCCAGTGCCCAAACCTTGTAAACCCTAGGCCTCAACTCCCAAACCTGGAACCCGACACCCCCAGACCATCAATTAAAGCGTAACACCCAACCCCATACCCCCCCACCCTCAACCTCAAGCATCTGAATCCCTATAAATTCAGTAAGTCTTGTGAAGCCTGATAGGCTTCCTAAGTTTATCCTAGTAGTAGAGTAGGTAACCTTTGACCTTTTTGGGGTAGTATAGTCCGTAAATAATCCCTGTATACCCAAAAAGATTAACCTTTAGTTCTCCATGATAACCGACAAGTAGGTTATTCAAGACGCGCCTGCGAAGCTCGTGCAGCATGCAAGATCCAAGCAGAGACGTTGCCAAAGCCGACCGAAAAACATGCGAACCCTAAACCCTGTTCTATAGGGGCCTAAATAACTACCTATACTGCTTCGGGGGCTCCTTATTGCATTTATGATATAGTATACCCCAAAACCCTATTCTAATCATTAAGGCCCCTACATTATAGAACCTTACTGTAGATCCCTTTTCGAACCCTTTAGAGGGAACCCTATTCTAATTAGTAACGCCAAGTCCCATGAATCCTTGGCCCTAAGCTCAGGCTAAGCGCTTCGGGCTCACTGGCTGCGAAGCTTGCGGCCAAGCATCCAAGTTGCCACCGAAATACGGTTGATGATAAAAAGATTATTCAGCCTAGGGTTCCTCTAAAGGGATCTATACGGGTACCTTTAAGGGGTTCCTTTAAGGGATCTATCTTTCGGGTCCTTCAGGTAATGCAGATTTATATCATCAACCGTAGTACCCTAAGGGTCCATGTGCCCACACAGGCTCCGTCAAGGATTCCTTTGCAGGGTACCATAATCGGATTCCTTTAGGGGCTCCTTGAAGGAATTTATAGGGTTTATAGGGTTTAAGGGTCCATGTACCCAACTTTGGCCCCAAAGTACCTATATATGGGCTACTTTAAGGCCAATTTATATACTATTTGGGTGCATGGGCCCTTATGGCAGCATGAAGCAATAACCCTATTGTTCACCCATTGTCTGAGGGTCCTGAGTATGTTATAGTCATTGGGTCCGTTTGCTGATGGGCAGTCGCATTTGCAGACTAAGACTGCAGCTACTTATATTCGGGACCCAAAAGGGGACCATAACTCTGACAATCACCCACCTTTACACCGGCTTTCGACAGCCCCAAACCTTCTGCAACCTCCACAGGGGCTGAGGTTTCTCTGAGGACTGAACAGTTGTTTTACTTCGTCGTTTATAGGGTGCCGTTAGGCGAAGCATAACGGGACTGAGTGACAGCAACGCAAGACAACGCTGGTAAGAATACTCACAACAGAATATGTTATGACCCTACTCATGTAGATAACCTACGGACTAAGTCCTGTGAGCCTCTCGCTAGAGCGGTGTACCCAGAGACTCCAATAATTAATCATCCCTTAGTTAAGGAATATACTTCACAAACCATATTTAAGAAAAAATCCTGCATGTATTCTAAACCCTAAACCCTATAGATCCCTTAAAGGAGCCCTAGGTATGCTTCAGGACTACCTCTGGTGGAATTACGACGTTCAGATCCTCGACGTCATTCCCATGAGCTATCTGCAGGCAAGCTGTCGTACTCGAAGACTCAACTAGACATGTCCAGTCTGAAGACGAACGCGGCCGCCGCGCCGTAGACATTCGCGTAGGGTTCCCGAAACTGTTGTCGCCGAGGTCCCAGCTGCCTCATGAGCGCGGGACGACCGGTTGTGCGAAGATAGCTGACAAAAGACCGCCTGCATGTCGATGTCCCGTAGCAAGATAGACTTCAAACAGCACACTTAAGGAATTCTAGCCCGAGTGACGAAACAGTTTCTGGCTCGAGCAGACCGTTTGCATCCACCATGACGATGCTCTTCCTGTTCGTCTTCGTGATGGGCAGCGTCCACAAGCAATCAAACGTAAAGCAACATCTCTTATGCCACAGTTTGTGTTCCTTGAATTGCATTCCCTAATGCGCATTCCCAGTTCTTATTGCCAATTCTTATTCCCAATTCTTATCCCCCAATTCTTACTGCCATCAGTCGTCTGCTGTGTGACTTCTTTTGTGGAAGGACTCTTCAGTTTCGAAAGTGAATTATTCATCCGTTGTGATTAGACGTTTCAGTTTCAAACATGAATGTCACAACTTATACGGTTAAACTTCTTAGCTTTAAAGATGAATTTCTCATTGTCGCGATTGTGTTCTCCTGTTTCAACGATGAATCTCGCAGCTTTTGTGCATTGCCGTAACCATGGGCCTTGCCGTGAAGCCTCGAGGCAATGAGAAAAAGTCTGAAGCGATGATCAAAAGCTTGTCACTACGCATTTCCGTCTGGTCGACATTTGAACCTTTCTTGGCATTGCGATGCGGGATACCAGCATACCGCATGCGCAAGGAAGGGACCCAAGGCTTTTGGAAATTTCACACAGGAGTATGTCGACCGTGTGGCTCCTTTGCGAAAGACGCCTCGTTTGGGTAGCGAAGCGGACCAAACAGTTTGTTCCAAGGAAGCCCGCGGGGGAGGGGGGAGACAATGGGGAGGTTCCGACCACTTTCAGTTCTGAATGCCTCAGCCTGCGTGCTTCGGTCGGCAGCCTGCATGCAGTTGCTTTCAGTCATGTCAGTCATGTCAGTCATGTTAGTTAGTTGCTTGCGACTTATTTTCTCTTCATGCAACATTTCAGTTTTCCCTTCCGCGAAAGCTTTGTACGATATCGTTTTAAATGAGGCAAGGGATTTCCGTTCGGACGCCCCAATAAGCGAAGCAATTCTGCAAGAGGTTTTCCTCCCTCACGCCCCAACAAGCGAAACAGTTCTGCAAGAGATTTCCATTCCGAACGCCCCAGTAAGCGAAACAATTCTGCAAGAGGTTTTCCCTGTAACGCCCCAATAAGCGAAACAATTCTACCAGAGGTTAACGCTGCAATAAGAGAAACCATCGGTGAACAGATCCATTTCGAAGTGCAGGTGCAACAACGCAAACCATTTTTTAGGGATTTGCCTTTCTGCTTAGGGCCGACTTTCAACAGCCTTTGGGCTATGACCAAGTGCAGTGTCTGCTCGGGGCCGACCTTCAACGGCCTTGTGGGCTATGATCAAGTGCAGCATTTGCTCTGGAATGGCCTTCAACGACTTTTGGGCTAGCACCAAGAGGGGTGGGTTCCTGTTCAAAAGTGTGCCGCTTTGTGTGTCGTCGAGGACAGAACGATTGCTCTTGAAGTGTTCCTGTGCCGGCAAAAGGTACTTTGGCACATCTGCAGTGCGGCAGCCGTTTCTACAGGACTAGCTAGTCTTCACCGCCGGCGCGCCCTTTGCCATGATGATGCTGATCCTGTTCGTGTTCCTGATGGGCGTGGTCCGACACCGAAAGTCTGCTTCGGGACCAAGCTTCGCCAAGAAGCTGTGCTTCTTCGGTTCTTCTAAGGTAGTCCGCCGTCGATGGAAAGCGCGGGTTAAGACCGAAAGCAAAGCGATGCTGCGACTTGCAGGGCCCGTCAGGAGTGGGAGCTCTATCGGAGAGCTCGACGCTCAGCCTAGGGCAGGTCCGCCTTCAGCAGCCTTGGGATGACAATGCTATCAGGCTGGCATCGAAAGTCCGGAGGCCGTCACCCGAATAAACTGAGCAGCAACACGTCCAGTAACAATGCAATCGGCAACGGTGCGCTCGCCCAACATGCGCAGGTGACTGCAGTTCTGGTCTGGCTACAGGCCGGTCGGATCGGGACGTGTTGCGTGACCTGTCGGTGTATTTGCATGTACACGTTCACACCTTCCATTGGCTAGTGTCCTGTCGTCAACCTGCAAGGCCGGCGTTCGCCCAGCCTCGCGAGCAAAAGCCTTATCGGTGGAATGTGCCAGAGCTGCTAGGTCGAACTCGTTTTGTCCGGTGCCGTCGTGCAACGTGATAAGCGGCGCCATTGATGAGCTGTCGTTGCAAATCGCATCCTGAGACTGGCAAGGCGACCTGCAAGCGCCCGAAGGCCAGGCGTGCGTGGCACTTCTCGCTCACCGGATACAGCGCTTTGGCGATCCGTTCACATGCCTTGTATTTGTGCTGCATCGCAAGGCGCTCCAGACAACGAGGACGAAGCCAAAGGCCCCCGGTGTGCGTCCGCGTGTGTGCGCGAGTGCGCGTGTCTTGTGGGCTCCCGCCTGCCGGCCCCGGCTATGGATCAGGCTGGACGGCCTCAGAAATGTCTCGGGTTCCGCGCACGGTGCCCGGCACAGCCGGTTGTTTCTCTGCTGATTACGGTCACCTCCGAGGCTGCGCGGCACTGGCGGTTGAAGGCTCTGAACTCGGCGGTTTTACCGATCACGTCCGAGGGCAGTCGCGGAAATTGAATTGTGCTTCATGCGCCGAATCCACGAGTGCACAGTCCCATGCCTGCGGCTTACTCAGGCACTCGGCTACCTTGCACCAGCAGAGTACGACCCGAGCAGAGTTGAGAAGTACGAGGCGGCGGTGCATTCGCGATGACGATCAAAAAACATAAGGCTGACGGCAGGTGATTGCCGCGGCAGCCCTGGAACGGAGCGACGAGATCGCGAAAATCTATGAAGTCGCTCGCGTTCCAGGCGAGTATAATCAGGTCACGATCGGAGGCGCTGACTGCCTGTTCGAGAGCTGAAAGGAACGCCCGTCCACACGGACGGATGTCACGTCAGCGAGACGGGCATCCGTCTCGTCGCCACCTACCTCCAGCAGGTGGCCAAGGCCGAACGAAGGTGTTTTATGTCCCCAACCTTTCTACGTAGATCTGGACGGCAGGACTTCGACCTCGTCGTCTCCGACTCCTGCCTCTGTGCGCTGCCGGCGGAGAAGGCTACAGTGCATGGTTTTAGTTTTTTTTGTTGTGCACCGACGATTGCAACTGCTTCGCAGGAGAAGCAGTTCCGCGGTGGCGATGGAGGCAGCCTGGCCGAATCCTTGATCTCCGTGCCGGTTCGCCCGGCATGGGGACAAGGATTTGGTTGGGATGCCTTCTACAGGCACATCTGGCAGGCGATCCAAGCCTTGGAGCCCGAGCAGGACCGGGCAAGTCATTCGAGAAGCACAGTCCTGATATAAGACGCGCAGGTCGTCCGGAGAATCCTGATCGTCTGCGCAGGCCAAGCAATTTTGCTCTGTGGTCTTACGCCATGCAACTGGCTCCAGGCAACGACTGCACGGGCTCCATGACGGCCGAGGATTCATTAAGGGATATTGGAGTCTCTGGGTACATGCAGAGAGGCCGTTCGAAATGCTGAACCTCAAACCCCACTTTGCGGGTCGTTAAATGGGAGCTTCCGAAAACAGGGGTAGCGTATTTTGGGGACCCTATCATCGGGTACTACACTAGGGTCCCCTATTTTCGGAAACTCCTAAATTAGGCTCCCTTTTAGCATTCCTTGTATAAGGGTGCCATACTATTTTGAAAATCCCAGCTGAAAGTGCCCTTCATAAGCGCCCTAGCTCAAGCCCAGAATGCAGAACCCATAGAAAACTTAATCTGGGTTCTCGTTAAGGAGTTTAGGTTAAGGTACCATAATAAGGAAACCATATTATTTGATATAGGTCCCTACTATGGTAACTTAACTTAAACCCTTTAACGAACACCCACCCTAAACCCTAAACCATAAACCCTTAACCCACAAAGTTCGGGACCAGGCCCTCTTGCCGGCGCTGTGGGCCATGGCTGAGAAGGTTTGGGCTGCAGCACCTGCGAGACTTCTATGCTTCTTACCGTACAGGTAGCAGGTTTAGGATTTGGAGTTTAGGGTTGCAGGTTTAGGGTTTAGGAGTAAGTATCTCATTGCAGGAATAGTGCCAGACAATGGGTGCGATAGCAAGAGCAAACAAGAAGCAGTACTTAATATCAGAAGCCCCCCCCGACATATTGACTTAAAGTAGAGGGGTAGTTCCTGGTTTTCTCGAGGCGATGTAAGAAAACCAACATAGTCGAAGGCCCAAATTGCTATCTAGCGGATAGTGGACTAGTGGACCATAAACTCTTGACCCGTGAGCTTTAAATGAATCCTAAGCCGAGTCTCGTAGATGTTTGTGTGGGACAGTTGTGCCCGCTGGCGCCTACGTACAACTGATGCCGACGAAGAACTCACAACCAACGAGCTAGGAGGTGCCTTGGGGCCTTATAGACCTATACGATCTTGGGGGCTCCTTGTATTTATAGTCTAATGGGCCCCAAATTCTATTCTAATTATTAAGGCACCTATATTAGAGGGTCGAATCTGCTGACGTTTCGCAACGCCCGAATCTTCAACTGCCGCAGCTTTGCCAGCCCTCAGCCCCCGTTGTCATCCTTGACGAGTGCATGACAAGGACTTTGAGCACAAGATGGCAAAGGCGACAAGCATTGGGGAGATGAGAGCGCATTGCATAAGGAAGCAGTTGCGACGGCTACCTACTTCTGGAAGTCCAAGTTCGGAAGCAACAAGAAGTTCACAAAGCCAGTGAATGCCAAGCAGGAAAGAACAAAACAAAAGGCGAATGAGCTCATCACGATTATGGGTTTAGGGACCTATTTGATATTCGTATAAGGGTCCTTGTACGCTTATACTAAATACATTGCTCTTCAAGTGGTCCCTTTATATAAGTACTTTGGGGCTAAGCCGTGCTGGAGTTCTCCGACGAGTACTTGCGGTTTGTACGCGGTCCAGCAGTGCAAGACTCGAACGATGCAGGGTTTAGATTTCACAGAGACTGCGCTGGCCAGTGGAGCTGCGACGACCCGACTTGGGGGGTCGGGGGACTTAGTAAGTAGTAAGTAGACTTATAAGTACCCGAAAAGGGACCCTAATTGGGGTTATGGTACTTATAAGTCCCTGAAATAACCAGTTACTAAGTCCCCCGACCCTCCAAGGAAGCCCTAAAGGCCCCTAAAAGTCTAGTTGGAGTCTGTAAACTGCAGGTCTCTGCTATGTTGACAGAACCGTATAAAGAAGCCCTTGGAGGAACCCTTACAGGAACCTTATTTGGGCACATGGATTCTTAGGGTCTCCGCGAGGGTTGTCTTGTGGTCCTGATTTTCCGAGTAAAGTATCGGTTCAGGGTTCAGGGTTTAGGGCTGCCTTCAGAAGTTCCATCTTGTTGTTTCCAGCATCCCACACATTGATCGTTTACTAACATCTTCTTGGGCTTAAGTGGCAGCAAGGAATGTAAGGTCTAGCGGACGTTGAGACGTTTGATCCTGATCATTACCCCTAGGCCTCAAAGTAGTTCCTTTTTGGGATTACCCGAAAGGATTCTATATACGAACCCCCACAAGGAACTATTTTGGGGCCTCTGGGTATCACTGTTTTTAAAATATGCTTTTCGCCATCTTGAAAGGGGTTTTCTTAAGGGGCCTAGGCCGTTGATACAGGCCCCTACACAAAAGCGGTTGCGGGTTCCGAAGTCAGGGTACACCCCAGACCCAGCAGTCATAACTTTCTGTAACATCGTATAGCATACTATAGTGTACGTAAACATACGATGGTATTCCGAGAATATCGCATAATATACTACACCTTATAGCCGAGTAGTATATACCTTGGCCGCAATTAAGGACTGCTTCAAGGCCAATTTATATACTATGGGGTACATGGACCCTTCGGGACGTAGTTAATAGTGGAGTATGGGTCCCAGACCTCAATAAACCGCAATCTACAATATCATGGGGTATAAACCCTAAACCACTAAAGTAAACCCCAAACCACTAAACCCTGAACCACTACACCCTAAACTCGAAGCCACTAAACCTTAAACCATAACCACTAAACCCTAAACGACTAAACCCTAAACCTTAAGGATCCCAGACCTCCGAGCCAGAACCCGTCGGCTCTAGTTCTGAGTCTGTCAGGCCAGTGAGCTGGGCGTGGAGCAACCTCGAGCGAATACTCTGTTATAGAGGCCTAAATACTTACCAGTATGCCTTTACTTAACAGGTTTTCCTTTTAAGGGGTTCCTTAAAGGGTTCCTGAAAAGGGGTACTATAACAGTACCTAAAGGGTTTGGGGATCAACGCGACTGCGGCGGGCTCCTTGATATGATTACAGCAAAATATTCCTCAAAACCCTGTTCGGGTCATTAAGGCACCTATGTTATGTTATGGGCATGTGGGTCTTCATCATTAGTACCTGGGCCCTGTAAAACCTATTCTGTGGGGACTCCGTATCATGATTTCTTTACAGAAGTCTTTACCAGGTAGGGTATTTGGGGTTAAGGTATGGAAACAAATAGTACGAATCTATGGGGTCTTCATACGTATTAGAGAACTAAGTAGTACTGTATTGTAGGGTCTTCGTAATCATTTGCTATAGAAGCAACAAGACCTATCTTAGAGGATCTTCATATGTAGTATAGAGACATTTCAAAAAGTACTGAATTGTCGGGGTCTTGATGAGTAGTTTGGAAACAAATAACACTATAATACAAAGGTCTTGATAAGTAGTGCAGTAACCAGCTCAAGCAAAGCATAAGCCCTACAGTCCTGCATTCTAGAATCATAGCATGGTATACCACTCCCCCCATCATTATTGATATTTCTCAGGCCCTTGTTAGTACTGAACGGTTCGGTTTTGGACAGGGAGCTCGGGGTCTCAGTCGGTTAAGATTAGTTATGGGATACAGCAGGGGTGTTCAGGAAAGAAACGACTTCGTGGCGCCAACGTCGACGCTGTCCAAGACAGACAAGCCAGACCCAGCGGTCGATCTCGTGGCGTTCTCCAATGCCAGCAATGTGCCGCTTGACCGGCATATTGGATGTGAGTTTTGGCCAGGCGAGCCCGCCGCTGAAACCTGCGTCTACATTCGCCTTGAAGCCCATCTTGACAGACAGCGAAGGACGACTCGCACCCGAAGACCTCCTGGCTTTCTAACTTCGTTTGGTCTTCGCTCCAGCTCAGATCAGTCAAGCTTTCAGCGGCACTCTGGTTTGCTTGCCGGCATAAACTTGGCGAAGCCACCTCCTTTGGGGCCGCACCTGCCTCCTTTGGAATCACCTGCTCTGTTGATCCGACATGCAAAATCCTAACTGTTCAGCTCACAGTTTCTTTCCACGGTTCTAGATTTTTTAGCTTCCAGGACACCTAAATCTCTTCAGGCCATATCTGCTGGTAGACACCATCCTGGACCTGGACGACCCTAGGTGAGGGTTAGTTCAGGATTCACCAGGATTTTAAGATGGTAAGGGTTCCGACAGGACCCAGTTAACGCCTGAATATCACCTAAATACTGAAAGCATGCTTACAATGATTTCCTGTTTTACTCTAGGTACATTACCAATGAAAAGGGTTTGTGAAGGGAGAAACCTGGCCATCAAGCGGCATCACCATTCTAAAGCCATCCGAATTTCTTGGTATGTTATTCGTTGAGGGTTCCCGACTCCATATCGTAGATCCACCACGACCCAGACAAACAGACCCTACACAGCATCCTGATTGTAACGGCACCCAAAAGTAGCATCCCTGATTCTGAGAAGCCTTATACAGAGCTGAATGCATATTATAACCCCATATCTTGTCAAGGACCACAAAACCCTTCTCTCCAAGCCCTAAACCCTAAACCACAAAAACACGGCTCCGCACTTGGATTTCCAGTGCCACCCAGGCAGCTGCAGTTGGGCATGGCGCACCGTGGCAGACTCAATGTTCTGGCGCCTTGGCTTTCGGATTGATATAGGGGCCTCAATAATAAGTACCTGTACGATTTTGGGGGTTCCTTGGTACATGCAAAGTATATTGAGCCCCGAAACCCTGTTCTAAGTATTACCTGTGCTATTTTGGGGGTTCCTTGGTACTGTACATTTGAAGCATAATGAGCCCCAAAACCCTGTTCTAATTCCTACCTGTACTATTTTGGGGGTTCCTTGGTACATTTGAAGTATAATGAGCAACAAAACCCTATTCTGATTATTAAGGCCCCTACATTAGAGTTTTGAAGAGGGTTTTGGAGGTTAGGCACTCTGGCCCTCAGGGTCCAGGGGTTTAGGAACCCGATAGAACTCTTGCGATGAGGTTTGCATGGCAGATGGTTGCCGTCCTTTTGAAGCGAGGGGTTCACGTGGTGTCCTGTCCATTTGGGGCCTGCCGGCACCGTAACAAAGTTAGTTAGTTCGATGAGGTTTGCAGCTTTAGTTCGGCACTCCTCTGATCCCAGGTCCCAGATCCCCGAGGTTCCACGTACCTGTATACTGGGCCGCCAAAACCATACTCTATTTATTCAGGCCCCTATATCCCGAAATCCCCTGTAGTACCCTTGTAGTCCCCCTTAAACTGGGCTTTGGAGTACCATACTATATAGCATTTTTTGGGACCTGTTACCTTAAAGGAACCAGGTATGACGTAAAAGTCTATACTTTTTTCCCTCAAAGCCCAGCCTAGGATATACAAGGGCCCTGAAGTACCTATAATACAAGGACCCCGTTAAGGCCTAAGTATATACTATATGAGTACGTGGACCTTTGTAGACGGGTACCCTATAGAACCCTACAAAAACCTTACAAGAACCCTAAAGGAACCCTTGAAGGAACCTTTTTTGGGTGCATGAAGCCTTTCGTGGATGCCGCTTCAAGAGCAATTCTGTTAACTTGGATTTAGAGTTTAGGTAGGGTTTAGCGGTTTAGGGATTTAGGGTTTAGGGGTTTAGGGTCTAAGGTTCAGGGTTTTAGTGTTTAAGGTTTAGGGTTTAGGGTTTTCGAGTCCGAGGATTACGGCATTTCTGAAGGCTTGGCGAAAAGCCGTATGGGGTTTCAGAAGGGTTGTTGAACAGTTAGGGACGCTTTTGAGGGGATCCTTAAACCAAGGATTCCCGAGCAACTCTGGGTCCATACTAGGGCCCCAGCTTCTCTAAGTCCGAGCCTCTTCTAGGTTTAGGGTTTGTGGTTCAGATTTTTCGGATCGAGCTTTTGTTGTTTTTTGGAACAAGCTGCAAAAGATTTGTTGCCAACGTGCGTGTAGAATCGTCCTATAATGCAATCTGCTCCAAAGGGCCTAAATTCCCAGACTCCCGGGAGGATCCAAAAAGTAGATCCCTTAATGGGGATTCCTATAAAGTACCCTTAGTAGTATAGGGCCCAATATTAGGGGATCTACTTTCTAGATCCTCCCGGGTGTCTGGGTTTTAAATCAGCCTCAAAAATTAGACTCGGGCTTTGTGGCATATTTATAGTTGCAGGGACTTGAAGGGTAATATAAAACCACACCGGAGTCTGAGCTCACTGCAGGAACTTATGATCGGTTTAGGGCAATTATTAGCAATTATTAGCAATTATTAGCAATTATTAGCAATTATTAGGAATTATGAGCAATTATTAGCAATTATTTGCAATTATTAGGTTTATAGGGTTATGTCAGTCCATCTTGCAGCCTGCGAACAAAGGTTTGTAGCTAGTTCCCGTAAGGGTTCCAAGTATCCAAGCATGTAGCAGGCTAGAGAGTAGGTTGGCACTTGCACTCCTAGGGCTCCTTCAGATACAGACCTTGATGGGAGTTTCCAAAAATAGGGGACCCTAAGATAGGAGCTTAAATAGTAGGACCCTTATTATAAGGAGCCCCAAAATAAGGTACCCTAATATCCGGAAACTCCCTGGTTGCGATTCCACAGCTTACGGCCACCAGCCAGAGACTTCGTGGCCGGTGAGGCTGTGATCACGGTCACGGCTCCGTTTCTGCAGGCAGGCCTAGCGTACAGCTGCAAAGCCGTATTGAGCCTGAACTTCCGAAGGCAGAACTCGGAGAAGCTGGCTGCGAAGAAGTATTCGCCAGTCACATCCAGGAGCTTGGACGGAGAGGCCCCTGACCTCGATGACATCCCGGCGCTCGACCTCATCGAGGACAGGGTGCGCGTGGCGGGCGGCGCCCCCCCACGGCGATGGTTCCGACCGCACCGGGAGTGGCGGACTACATCGTCCGGTCCCTGGCGCCCAACTACCTCGGCGGCCGGGTTCCGGAGCGGCTTCCCGATGGTTCGGATGGCGACCCCGGTCAGGTTGTGGCGTTGTCGCCCGTGATTATACAGTCGGGAGCCACTGCAACGTTCAGTGATGATACTCTCCGTTTAAGTGTATGTGCTGTCAGACTGTTTCCATGGCCAAATTTCCCTAAGGGTCCATGTACCCATCTAGTATATACATTGGCCTTAAAGTACTCCCTATCTCCCTCAGGGTTTCATGTAAATGAACCCTCAACCCTAAACCCTAAACCGTGACCCCCAGTACTATCCTGAAAGAGCTCCCCTGTAAAGGAGCCCTTACAACCCCCCTTTTGGAGGAACCCTACACCCTACTTAAAGGCTCATGGGGCTTAGTAAGTAAGGTTGTAACTAGGTTATTATCAGGATAACCCCACGTAGGGGACTTATAGCCCCAATTATAACCTACTTACTAAGTCCAATGATCCTTCAAGTAACCTGGGCCTCCACGGAGGCAAGACCCCAAACCTGCGGGTCCCGACATCATGAGCCCCACCCGAAGCCTGGACCCTGACCCTAACTCTTCGCCAAACTTGTACTGCCCGAAACGGCTACATGCATAAAAAAGTCAACAAGCAAATAAATAGATAGCTTGAAAATGCCTACATACATACACACACATTTTCGGAAGATGTATAGGTGCCATGTCGCCTTCAGCCCCTGAAGATCCCAGAGAGAGCGAGGTGAACTTCATGGGGAAGCGAGTCTGGGAGGTTTGCAGCGACTCTTGTCAGAAGAAGGGAATTGCTTGGGATCAGGTTTTAGGGTTTAGGATTTAAGGTTTAGGTTTTAAGGTTTAGGGTTTAAGGTTAAGGGTTTAGGGTTTAAGGGTCCAGGGTTAAGGGTTTTTAGAGCTTAATCTTGAAGCTGTAGGGTCCAAGGTCCAAGGTTTGGGCTTACGGTCGGTTGCTAGGCATATCTGCCTGCACACACCTTATACAGATGTCCGTGAAACCGGGACTCCGCGTCTATGTTCGGCTAGGACCGTTCTCATGTTGTGGAACGGCGACAATACTGCCAGCGTGAAACATCATCAAAACGTGTCAAGATCTTAAGGAAGTCTATTGTCATTGTTGTTTCTCCTATAGCTGCTCTCCCTAATCATAGACCCACTACTGCACATATAACCACCCACCAAAAGGCCTAGACCCCCAGGCTTGGCATGCTGTGCGTCCCTACCAGAGAGTTCAACGAGCAGACCCTAAACCCCTAAGCTCTAAACCCTAAACCCTAAACCCTAAACCCCTAACCTCTACACCCTAAACCCTAAAGCCCTGACCTTTAAACCCTAAACCCTAAACCCCTAACCTCTAACCCCTAACCTCTAAACCCTAAACCCTAAACCTTACCGAGGAGTTTGGCGAGCAGAATGACTTTCTCGGAGACCTGAAGCAGCTGGGATCTGTTCGGCGGCATTTGTATCCACGCTGAGCCGCCGTTGGCTGGGCCTTCAAACCCTAAATACTTAAGCAAAAGGCCCGAAGGGTTTACGTATTCCTAAATACTCAAACTTATGGGTTTAGAGTCCAAAGTATCCCTAAATACTCAAACTTATGCGTTTATGGAATCCAAAGTCCAAGGTTTAGGAGGGCGTAGACCTACTTAAAGGATCATGGGACTTAGTAAGTAGGTTATAATTGGGGTTATAAGTCCCCTAAGTGGGTTATCCTAATTATAACCTACTTATAACCTTACTTACTAAGTTCCATGAGCCTTTAAGTAGTGGTCCACGAGACACCGTATAATCGAGGCCTCTGGGTTTAGGGTTTAGGGTTTCTAATATACGCTGGCCAAAGCATGTTACCTGGGCTCGATGGATTCATGGCTGTTGGGCCCAAAGAGCATACCATAGCATACTACACAAGGCTTTTGGGCGAATTTGAGTCTTAGGGTTGCTAAAGCACTCCATGGCTACATAGTGTAGGACCAAGGCTGCAAGCAGATTGATTCCCGACACCGTTTGTAGCCAACAAACCACTTCATTTCCAAGCCTTGAAAACCTCAAGCTTCGTATATACACCTCCGTTCTAAACGGAAGGGAGATTATAGCAAGTCTGATACGGCCTCCTTAGTGGCCCAAAACCAAACTTTTCAATTTTTAGGGCTCTTATAAGGCAGTCTTACTGGAAAGTTTGAACTTTTTCCCCCATAGGTATTCGGGGAGTAAGTTTGCAACTTTCTGTGTAATCATAGTATCATGGGCCCCAAAACCCTATTCTAATTACTAAGGCCCCTGTAGTACGGCCTCCTTTTCAACTAGGATGCCTAGTAGTACCCTTATTCCCTTTTTGTAGTCCTAGGTTCCTTATAAAGTTTCCCAATACCAAAAGAGAGGCCTTTTTATTCTTAGGTTACTGGGTATCCTAGTCAACGTTCAGCTAAAGCTCTGGCCAAGGTATCACCTGGGAACTCGTGGCACCTGCGGCTCGTCTCAGGGGAGTCTCCGAAGTACTTAAAATAGGGGCCTGAATAACTGCCAATACTATGTTGTTATTATAACGATAGTAGAATATGCCCCAAAACCCTATTCTTATAGAACGATAGTAGAATATGCCCCAAAACCCTATTGTGATTATTAGGGCTCCTACATCATGTGGATCAGGAGACTTGTGCAGGCTTTATGGCCCTGGGATTCACAGTACCTACTTTGGGCTCTTCGGAGTCTTAGGAGAGGGTTTCAGTCTTTCGGCTTTCAAGGTTTAGGACGTTTTGGAGGTTGAGGTCGAGGACTAGGCTTTGAGGTTGTTGGGTTCAGGGTTTAGGGCTTGGGCCTTCGGTTCAGGGATCAGACGACTTGAGCACAGTTTTTAGTTGTTGGTTCAGTGAAGTTGTTTTTGTTATGCTTTCGTGTCAATTAGATGTCTGCAGCCCGAAGCCTATACTACAATTAAAATGCTTAGGAGAGTGATGTGAGGTATCTTGGACCCTAGCTGTGACAGGGCTTGGAAGCCGAAAGCTGGAGATATGCGTACGTACGACATCTCCGGCTAGGGTTTAGGGTGGGTGCAAACTAATATGCAACTCTGCACTAGGAATTAAAGTTGTTGTAAGGAGAGTGATGTGAGGTATCTTGGACCTTAGCTGTGACAGGGCTTGGAAGCCGAAAGCTGGAGTTATGCGTACGTACGACATACCCGGCTAGGGTTTAGGGTGGGTACAAACTAATATGCAATTCTGCACTAGGAATTAAAGTTGTTGTAAGTATTCCGCAAATTTGTATTGGTTTTGTCTTTTGTGAATAATTAGCCTGTATTTCAGAAATACCTCATAGACCGTCATGAGGGTACCATTCGAGGCATGTTCCGTTCCAGGTCAAATTGGCAGCGCTTCGGTTCAGCTGACCCTTGCTCCAAATCCTTCCCATCTCGAGGCCAGGCTAAGGGTTAATATTCTAGGGCCTAGATAATTACCTATACTATTTCGGACGTTCCTTATAATAACGATGGTCTCACCAGAATAAGGCACCCCCAAGAAAAAAACACGATTCTAATTACTGATCTTGAGTAGCAAGCCCTAACCCCCCCAAGACACGCATGTCGGTGGCCTGCAGCCAGAGACTCCCCCCCCCCCCGCTCTAAGCCCTCGTAGCCCCAATGCAGGAACTTGATCTGGGTGGTTGTCAAACTTGTGGTCCCTTTTTTGGGTACGCTAAATATTAGGTCCCGTATTACAATAGGGGCCCAAAAAGGGGCCCCAATTTTGACAACCACCCTCTAGAAACCACATGGTTCTCATGCTGGCTTTATGTGAACGGTGTTATGTTGGGCACCTTGGACCAGCTGTCTCTCACCTCCATTCCGAGCGAATCAAGCCATGAATCCCGAAGCCTGAGACCTGAAACATTGTCAATGCCTTTGACAAACATTGCTGGGTTTAGGGTTTAGGGGTTGAAGGGGTTTTGGGTTTTGAGGTTCAGGGCTTATTATACTGCCGCCTTGCAGAAACTGCACAAGGGCCTTCGCCAAGGCCCTACAGGAAGTTTCTTTGACTCTTCCAAAGCCCGTGAAGGTGTAAACCCGGATTGCTGTAACAAACTGCTTTCTTCCCATATATGGTTACTTCTTCAATCGAGGTCTTGACAAGTGAGAAAAAGACTGCCGCTTTACACAGAGCTCCACAAAGCGTTGCAGAAGCGGGCTAAATCCTTGCAAAACCCGAGAGAACACCCGTGCAATTGTACCACCACCTGTAAAGCCCTTGTAACACCTCTCCACTATAGAGCAACCTAAGCCGTAGCTGTAGCCATTAAAGGAGGCCTCAACCCTACACCCTAATTCCTAATGTTATTCACGGGAGTCTGGGGGAACCTGGCAGGCTGTTGACCCTGTGGTACTCGGAATGACCCGTGCGAAGCAGGAACTGCTCCAGCAGCACATTGGTTTTGAGTTGGTTTTAGGTTGTGTAATGTAGGCTTATCTGATTTGAAGTGGGCATTCTGTTGATTGTATAGGTGTGTTATTCTCGCTTTTGCGCATGGAGTTGTGCCAGGTCTTGTCATTGTTAGTTTTTGTTATGATGGGGGTACGGGTTGCGTTATTTCCTCGGCATGTACTTGAATTGAACAGTTCATGGGGAGCATCGGAAACTGACGGGATTCACAGCGTACTCAGACTGTGCAGTACCTGGTGTTGGTCGGCTTCTCGTTACCGTAAAGTACCCTAAGGGTCCATGTACTCACATAGTATATACATTAGCCTTAAAGTACTCCGTATATAGGTACATTGGGCCCAAAGACTGGGATTGCGAGGTTGAAGTCGAAACCCAACACCATAACAGGGAATCGGGTCTACTACGGTTGATGATATAAATCCTGCATCACCTTACGGACCCTAAACTATGGGAACTATGGTGTATTCCTTATTACGGGCAATGCAGGATGTATATCATCAGCCGTAGTATCCTTATGGGGGGTCACCCAGGGGTTGATAACCTACTAATCCCCAGTTCTCTCTAGCGCTCCCTAAGGTTCCCTTAAAATTCCCTCAGGATCTCTTATACCCTCCCCCCTTCAACCCTCCCTTGAGGCCCCTAAAATTGCATCCATTGCATTTGATTCGCCAACTTTCGAGCCTATCCTGCTGCTTCGATAGCATCCTAGTTTACCCCAAACCCCAAAGCATAGACAGTAAGCCAGCTGCCAGCAAGCTCGTTGAGGGCCATAAGCCCTTGAAGTTTTCGGGCTTGGTGGTTAGGATTTCGGCGTTTGGCATCGGTAAGTAAAAGACATACACTGACGGTTTAGGGTTTAGGGTTTGTGATACCGCCTACCCACGACACCCTGTTGTGACCGCAATGGCAAGCCCCGCTTCGGCCGTTAAACCAGCACATGCCTGCTCTCGCACAGGACTACATGGGCAACCAAGACATGCGAAAGGTCGCAGCCGCCACATGGGCTAAATGGACGTTTCTTAAGTCTAGACTTATGATAAGCATCAACCTGTTTAGGGTCTCGGTTAATTGGGACCCTCGCACATTGAAAATCCTTTACAATAGGATCAGGTGAGTTCTACAGGCTTTAATCGGGTTTTTGAAGGGTTGTATCAGGGCTTTCGCGCCCTAAAACAGTAAACCCGTCAAGCCTTAGCCCTAAACGCCACCATCCGTAAGCCAATAATCCCCAAGCATCAGGTCCTCATCCACGGCGATGCTTCCTTTTGTGGTCAGGCCTGGCATTTCTCAGGAGTAGCTGCTCCGACCCCTTCATAATATCCTCTACCCAACAGCTATGGGGCGCATAAATCAACCTCTTCAAGCTTCAGCTAAATGTCTGACGCTAAACCCCAAAACTCTGAAACTCTACCCCAAAATCCAAAACTGCACCACACGCTGACAGCCCCAAAACCCTGACAGCCCGACTTGCGAAAGCCCTTAAACCGCCTGAGAGCCCTGAAGCCCTAGTAGAGCCCTAAGAGCCCTAAACGCTAGAATTTCAAGCTTCGCCAGGGGATCCTGGCAGAATGTCTTCAGCTGGCCGCGTCCCGGCTGAGTTGATCCACGCCCTGAGGGTCCATGTGCTCAAAAAGCATCTCTCAAGGTTCCTTTAAGCATTCCTCTAAGGGTTCCATAGTGTTTGGGGTTTAAGGGCCCATGTACAAAACTATAGTATATCCGTTAGCCTTAAAGTAGTCCCTACATAGGCATTTTGGCGCCAAAGTGCCAAAGTATACACTAATATTTGGGTACATGGACCCGAAGGGAAACGTCCTGCCTATCCCATGTTCACAGTGTTTCGGCCTTCGCGATAAAAGCCCGCGGATCCTTGTCGGTGAAGCTTTAGGGTTTAGGGTTTATAGGGTTTTTTAGGGGTTTAGGGTTTATAGGGTCTAGGGTTTAGGGTTTAGGGTATAGGGTCTCGTCCAACTACGGTTTAGGGTTCGGGTTTAGGGTACTGCAGGGTGCCTTCGGTTCAACTCGTTCACCCGTAGTCCTTATTTCTGGCTTTTGGTAAAGGCCTACAATCAGGAGTAGTTGGACCCTTAGGGACAGGATTCAGGAGCTTCAACGTTGAAGCGACACCCTCAAGTCTAAGCCATCAGTGTTTGGGGTTTTGTGGACATTTGGCCACACCATGAGCCTTGCAAGGGCCGATGCTGCCTGAAGGTCCTAGGCACCTAGAACCATGCATTTACCTGTGTGTACATATATATATATATATATACATAAACGCTCACTTACCATTACTGAACTTCCGAACTGTATGAACGCCTGTTTTGTCGGGTCCCTTGAGCCTTTCAGCTTGAAACAAAACCCCCAAGGATTCATGCTGTCTTGTTGTTCAGGTCAGTCCGGTATCAGGATTCTTCTCATGTGGGCTCAGGGTGTAGAGCCCCCGATGTTGAATCGCAGCCCAAGGGTGCAGGTACCCGCTGCCCATCACATCGAACGCAAAATTCACAGAATCCGAACCTACAATATCTAATGTACGGGCGTAAGTAATTCCCAATACCATTTTGGGGTTCTTCATTATAAATATAGTATAGTGGGCCCCAAAACGCTATTCTAATTATTAAGGCCCTTATATCAAGCAACCAAACGTTGGGTTCTTTCGATCTCTAGCAGCCTTTTGTATGGTTCCTGCTTACGTAAGTTGGGGCTCCACGTGACTAAGCTAGAACTAATCCGTCAACCATCCCAAACCCTAAAACCCTAAACCCTAAAACCCTAAACCGTACACCTAAACCGCTTTTTCCCCAAAAAAACATAAACTCAGACTTCCCCAACTGAACGAGGCTCCGTGGTTTCAACTACTTAAAGGCTCATGGGACTTAGTAAGTAAGGTTATAAGTAGGTTATAATTAGGATAACCCCACTTAGGGGACTTATAACCCCAGTTATAACCTACTTACTAAAGTCCCATGATCCTCTAAGTAGCCTAAACTACCCCTTATAGAACCCTTATATTATAGATCCCTAAACCCTAAACCCTTTAAGGAGCCCTTTAAGGAACCCTAAGTCCCATGATCCTTCAACCAAGGATCTGCCAGCCTACACGACGGGTGGCACCGCCGCTGGGAGCTGCGTTGATCCGACGGTTGTCTTGGGGGGGTCGGGGGACTTGGTAACCTTAAGGGCCCCTTTAAAAGGGATCTATATAGGGATTCTGTATGGGTATATGGTTTAGGGTTTAGGGGGCTTAGTAACTGGGTTATTTTAAGGACTTATAAGTACCAGAACCCCAATTAGGGTCCCTTTTAGGGTACTAATAAGTCTACTTACTAAGTCCCCCGACCCCTCAAGTTGTCTTGGGGTTTAATGTTTTTGGGGTTTAGGGTTTACTCAGACTTGGGGTGGCTCTTTAGCCTTTAATTGTTTGGGTGTCTATGGATGTCTATATGAACTATAATAAGGAGGATCCGACGGTTGTCTTGGGGTTTAGTGGTTTCGGGTTTTAGGGTTTACTTAGACTTGGCGTTCTTCTGGTTGGCTCTTTAGACTTTAACTTGTTGGGTGTCTGTATGAACTATAATAAGGAGGCTAAAAGCTTAACTTTTAGGAGGGGTTCAGAAGTCAGCCAAGGGTTGTCTTGGGGGTTAGTGGTTTTGGGGTTTAGGGTTTACTTAGAGTAACCAATGACCAAGCTACATAGACAAGATGTAAATGTACCAATTTACTGGGGTATCGCTTCATTGAAGGTACATTGGTTGCTCTAGGTATATTGAAGCTTCTGTGCGGTTTTGCAAGCTCGACGGTGGATTTCAAGCAGCACTGCCATTGAAGGGATCGTCATAGCATTGCTTCAACTTCGGGATACCTTACGATAAGTTCGTGATCCCTTTTAGTAGGATCCTGCTTGGGTACTGACCCCACTCCGTAAGAGTTGGATAGGATTTAAACTATGGATATATTAGGCCCTTCATAGTAGGCCTATTATAGACTGTTACTGTACGGGGGGGAGGACCCATCATCTTGCCACGGTACTGTTTCTATTTTGTTATCCTCTTTTTAAGCTCCCTCTGTCCAGGCTTTGCCTAGACCCGACAGTGTCGTCCTTCGTGCTAACTTTGTTCTTATCTTCGGATCCTAAATCAGATATCCAACTGCGGTACTACTTAGAGGTTCATGGTACTTAGTAACCAGGGTTATAAACAAGGTAAGTATACTTATATGTGGTCTGTATCCTCAGTTAAGGTACTTATACCTGTACATACTAAGTCCCATGAACCTCCAAGTACAGCCCATAAAGCGCATGACCCCCAAACTCCAAAATCCTAAGCCGCAAACCTTAGATCCGGAGCCTTACCCAAAGGCCCCAAAGTAGTTCCTTTTTGGGGTTCGTATGTAGAAGCCTACCAGGTAATCCCAAAAAGGAACTACTATGGGGCCTCTGGGTACACCCTCAGCCCTAAACGAGGGTTGACTGGAATTGGTTTGGTTGCCAGATTCGGTTTTGGCAGTTCGAAGATTTAGCCTGGTAGGGCTTGTGCGTCTCAGGGTTTCGAGTTTTCGGGTTTATAGGGTTCAGGGGTTGAGGGTTTAGGGGTTTAGGGTTTAGGGTTAGGGTCAAGGCTAGTGTCTAGGATTCAAGGCACACCCCGACTGGTTCGTCATGGCAAGTTACCTGTACCTGAATTGGGATTGTGAACTGTTTGATTGGTTGCCAGATGTTCCATGTGTGTCTGCTCGTCTCTTGTTAATCCGAGTTCTCCAGAGGTCCCTAAAGGGAACTCCAGAAAGTTGGAATATGGATTAATGGTAGGATCCCCTATAATTTACCTTAAAGGGGTTACGATAATGATATTCCAACTTTCTGGCTTCTACTGTAAACCCTAGACCGAAGAACTTGGTTGTAACAATGACAGGTTAGAGGCTTTGTCGGATCAGCATATCAGTCTCATTTCGGCCCCCAGTGGAGCTACAGTACTTGTAAGTAGAAGCCAGAAAGTTCGAACATTCTGATCCCCATGCCCTTCGAGTAAAGTATACTTGAACCTAGCACTATTCATCCTACATCCATGTTCCAACTTTCTAGGGTTCGCTGTACTATTTTAGGGTTTAGGGGTTTAGGGGTTTAGGGTTACTATGTCTCCTGATCCCTCAATCCCGAGGTCCATTTCGTGATTAACAACATGGTTGGTTTCACGACCGACCCGCGCGCCGCCAGATCGTCGTACCATTGTGACCCAGCCGAAACTGCGGTCTTTCTTGAGATTGCGGGAGTGATTCTCTACGGTTGATGATATAAATCCTGCATTACCCATAATAAGGAATATACCGTAATTCCCGTAGTTTAGGGTCCTTTAAGGTAATGCAGGATTTTGCAGGATTTATATCATCAACAGTATGTTGGTCTACCTTGGGATGCCTGCTTTTCTGACACTCTCAAACATGAGAGTCCGAAAGGGTGAGCATCACAAGACCTGCTACCCAAAGCCTTTAAGTCTCAGAAAGCTGTCGTTACGAAAGCCAGATGATACCTTGTTTAAACAGGTCATCAGCCCCAAACTGGAAAGCCTCAACAAAAAACAATCCAACTACATAAGGTCATGTGAACTGAGGATCCTCCCAAATCCCTGAAACCTGAAACTTCATCTCATTGGAGGAACCCTTCTCAAACACCATCTACCCCTATAGTGGTGAACGTTCAGGGATTATTTAGTGTGTGGAGTGTTGGGTTGATGGTGTGGGCTTGTTGTGTACGGAGTCCAGGTACGAACGTGGCCAAAGTGAATGACGCGCCCATCATCCACGTCAATGCCGACGATGCGGCTTGACTGATCATAAGTACGGACGGTACCATATTAGGCTCCCCTATTTTCGGAAACTCCCCTATAGGCCCTAAACCCTAAACCCTGAAGCCTTAGGAAAGTGCCCCAAAAACCTGGATCCCAGTCCCGAAACTCTAAGGCCCCCCCAAATCCTTGGCCCCCAACGCCTGAAATTGATAATGGAAGAACCTGATTAAGAAGCCCGGGTTCTATGACCCCAAAATGGTAGGATACATGCAAGGAGCCCTGATAAAGGCCCTTTTTCAGGTTCCTACATTATCCCAAACCTGTAAGCAAATTCGTCAAATCTAATCCCCAGAGTCCCTCAGACTAAACATTAAACCTTAACCGACCCCCAGCCGGAAGGTCAAAGCCTCGATATTTACAGAGTACCCGAACCCTCTTAGTCCCCTTTCTCATGGTCATAGTGGGTATTTGGGGTATGGTAACGTGTATGCAGCAGAGGATAGTTGGGGGGGTGCAGGTATTCGTAGGCTTCAGGGGTTTACGACTTTGTCTGCTGCGTTGCTGCCGATGGAAGCTGTGGCACATGCGCTTGCAAGATTCCGAAGCTTGCAACCGGAACCTGTAAAGCCAGATCTTTGTCATAGTTGGGTAACATTTTGCAGTTCTATGGGTACTCAAACCCAACACGGAATAAACAATCATTTGTTAATCCTATCCCAACCATGCACTAGAGATAGGGGGTTGCACCTTGTCCTGGGGGAACTTTCCTCCTCCACTTCCGATTTCCGTTCCATGAGGAACACATCTTTCTTACCATGCTTGAACTTGGGATTAGACTTTTTTCACGGTGTACCCAAAGGCTCCCAAAGGGGTCATGGGCCTGCTGGTGGAGGGTTTGGGCTTTGGGATCTAAGGATTGGAATCTCGCTACGAGGGTCCAGGAAGCCTTAGGGTAGGGCTTTTGCGGTTTAGGGTGGTCAAAGGGGAAAAGGAGGGACCCATTAATGGGGACCCCTACCCTATAATGGGGCTATATAATTGGAATAGCTATATTAAGGGTATATACCTAGGGGTCCTTTTTAAGGGTCCCTCCTTTTCCCCTTGGGGATGGGGATGCCCGGGAGTCGGGTCTTCGGGCGTTTAGAGGATGTGTTCTTCGAATGTCTCGCGTTGACGAACTACGGAGCTGCCCGGACCCGGAACCCTGCGCCAAGCCTGTAGGGTTTAGGGGTTTCGGGCATTTAGGGTTTTTAGGACTTTGGGGGTCAGGGCTTTAGGTGTGGGGCTTTAGGGTTTTATGGCTTCGTGGCTCTTGGGTTTTCGGATACCAAATTTACCAAAACATGACCTTGAACCGAAACCATGAACCGAAAGCAAGAGGCCAATGCCTCAGGAACCCGAAACCTTTATCAACCTACATAGAATGTGTAGATCTGAACAAGAACAATCCGCCCTAGACCTCAAACTCCGGGACCAGCCCTAAGCCTTCAGAACCTTGCTAGAACTTTTCTTAAACCCTAAACCCTAAACCCTAAACCCTATACCTCTACAGAACCCTTGTAGAGCTCTTGTAGAACAATTTCTTGAAACCCGTGTAGAACAAGGAACACCTGTAACTGTAACAGTTTGATTCAAAACCACAAAGAGAGCCATCTTCGATCTCGAACGCACCCAAGATTCTTAGGTCGATGCCGTGATTTTTGCCTCGACGCTTGCAGCCGATTTCCGACAGCGCTTCCGGAAGGAGCTAGCAGTGTGGCGTGGTGGGGTTTTGTGCTTTCGGTGTTTAAGCCTACCGGGTTGTCGAGGGTTTAATGCTTATTGAGGCGTAGAGTTCAGTATTCGGAGTACGTAGGAGTTTACGAATAAATAAGGTTCGAGACTGTTTCGTAGCGTTTCGGGTTTGTGGTGTTTAGGGTGGAGGACTACCGGACCCTAGCCATAGAACCCAAACCCTCGGCGCAAACCCTCGAGCGCGACCACCACTTTAGATCCCCCACCCTGAATCGTGAATGCGAAGATCTAGCTGCTTTAATGCTAGCTTCGGCACATTCGAAATTTGCAGGCTCAGAGTGTGGGACTTCATCGAGTTTTAACAGGGATCGACGGCCCATAGCTTACTGGCATTGCGAATTTTCAGGGAAGGCTTGCAGCACCAATGCATACCCTGCAGTTCCCTTCATAAGTACACTCTGACAGCAGACAGGACGTCGTTGTCGATTTGGTTTGCTACCGAAGGGAGGGCCACAGCGAGGCAGTGCGGACGCACACGCACACGGACACAGACAGACAGACAGACCGACCGACCGACCGACCGACGGACGGACGGACAGACAGACAGACCGACGGACAGACAGACAGACAGACAGACACACACACACACACACACACACACGGAGCTTAGTTTAGGGCGGCATTTAGGGCTTACACTACAGGGCTGCAGAGTGGAGCTACTTCGGGCTTAGGGCTCAGGGGCTTGAGGATCGACAGCCTCGTGGGTACGAGGTTCTGATGTAGGTCAAGGTTGCTTAACCCGGAGTTTAGGGTTTAGGGTTTAACGCTGGGCAAGCCCTCTATCTTCTACAAGGCCACCCGAGGACTGAGGATGTAGGACAGCGGGTTCCGGTTGCAAGAGGATTGAGACTTGAGGGGTGAAAGCCTTAGATCCTAAACCTTAGGGTTTCCCAAATACCTTTAGGGTTTAGGTTTTAGGCTTTGCTCAGACTCATCAGGAGGAGATTCTAAGCAAAGCAACCACGCCATTTAGGTATTGAAGCCCTGTTGATTGCGAACAAGTTCGAGATTGTTGTTCCAACGATCGTATCAATATACCCTAAACCCCTAGGTTCCTCTACCCTATATCCCACAAGCCTAATCTCAGGGTCCATGTACCCAAATAGCATACACTTTGGCCTTAAAGTAGTCCCTATATAGGTACTTCTGGGCCAATTCATATACTTTTTGGGTACATGGACCCGTAAACCCTATAAGCCCTATAAACCTTATAGATTCCTTAAAGCAACCCTTTAAAGGAACCCGGTTATGGCACCCTAAAAGGAATCCTTAAGGGAGCATCGGGCATCGTGTCCCCAGAGACTCCAATACCCCTTAATTAAGGAATATACCTTAAATCATATTAGGGAACCTACTATAATTTAAGGTATATTCCTTAATTAAGGGGTATTGGAGTCTCTGGGTTATGCCCTAGAGGCGGAGACCTTTGGATACTTGTTTGCTTTAGTCTCTGGGTCAGGCCGAGGATGCCTCGCTGACGCAGCCTCTGACGCACAAGCTCATGCAGAGCCATGACCCGGTGGGCTACTTGGAGGGTCTTTAGGGGACTTAGTAAGGGCTCCTTTAAAGGGGATTCTAAGGGTTCTATAAGGGTAGTATAGGGTTTAGGGTTTACGGTTCAGGGACTGCAGGTTTACTTGGCGTTCTTCTGGTTGGCTCTTTAGTCTTTAACTTTTTGGGTTTCTATATGAACTATAATAAGGAGGCTAAAAGTTTAACTTTTAGGAGAGGTTCAGAAGTCAGCCAAGTTTGGAGTTTATGATATAGATGGGCTGGGGATTTCATCATAGGGTGGATGATATAGATCCTGCATTACCTTAAAAGCCCCAAACTATGGGAATTATGGTATATATTGCTTAGCATGGATAAGGCAGAATTTTCATCATCAACCGTAGGAGCCCTTTAAGAAACCCTTTAGAGGAACCCTGACAATAACCTTCAACTGAGTCCAGCCTAACAACTTTTCAATTCTTAGGGCTCCTATAAGGTAGCTTTACTGGAAAGTTTGAACCTTTTCTTCCCATAGGTCTTTGGGAAGTAAGTTAAAGGAAGCCTGTTGAAAGGAACCTTCAAAGGAGCCGTCTGAGAAAGGGAGCTGAAAGGGCTGAAGGATGGAAAGCTGGCCTTTCCTTGGACCCTAAAGAGCTTACCTGGGAGTTTTCGAAAGTTCGAGTACCTTTTTCTGGGGTCCTTATAGTTATAGTGAGGATCCTGCTATTTAGGGTATTCTATTAGGGTCCCCTATTTTCGAAAACCACCACTTGTTTAGGGTCCTTATTATGAGTTCCTGAAAAGAGGTCCGTAACAAGGTAGGTTATTTGGGGCCGGCATTCTTAACGTAAAGGACCCGTGTAGGCACCCATGGAACCTCGTTACTAGTTACAGTACGCTTATAGGTACCCTTAGAGGAACCCTTAAGGGCTTGGTGGGCTGGCATTCTGGCATTCCTTCAGGGGCCTGCTTTTTTGTTCGGCCTCTAAGAGTTTGATTAGTATATTCGGGTTTGTAAGAAGGGCCCCAAGTACCTATAAAGTAAGTTACCACATTAGGATTATGATTTGGGAAAGTATCCCCCGTAACAGTACCTGGGACCCTTGATCAGAGCTTTTGGTCCAGGAGTTGTGGCTAAGGTTCGCCAGCATTATGCGTGGAGCAAGCTTCTCATAGCAGGGGCTGCCTCCTTGTCTTTAGATTTGAGCTCGATTTTGTCGGTTTTATGTTTCTTAAACCCTAAACCCTAAACCCCTAAACCCTAAACCCCTAAACCCCTAAACCCTAAACCCTAAACCCGAAGGCGGCGCTAAACCCAAAGTGTTGGTCGTCTCTGCGCTGCCAGGAGGAGAACGTTGACGGATACAAAACCCAACGCGTTTAGACGTGCCTGATCCAAATCCCCGAACCGAAAAACCCTGGACACCAATAGCCAACTGAATCATCTTAAACCCTAAATCTTGAACCCCCGAAGGGTCCTGTGTACCGATATAGTAGAATGTAGGGTTTCCATATTAGGAATTACCATTATGACTTAGGGAAGTATCCCCCATAACAGTGCATAGGACCCTTTGGGACCGTAAGTCCCGGAATCCAGCAAGTCCGGGGTTTCGGGCGGGAGGTGGCCGAGCAGTACACGCAAACCTTGATTGACGCTGGACTCTGGGCAAACGTTGTGGAGTGATGCTGGGTTTGGGGTTTGTGATTTTGTGCCCTAGGGCCCCAAAGTACCCAATAATATGGGTAGGTAAGAGATGATCGCAATTAGTTGACCTTGTAGGTGCAATTGTTTTGGTAAAGAATACTAGAAGCGCCTAAACACTTAGCAATACTATTCGGGTCGTTTCCTTATTATTACACTTACAGTATACTGGGCCCCAAGACTCTATTCTAATTTTTAAGGCCCCTATACTAGATCCCTAAACCCTAAACTCTGAACCCTATAAAACCCTCCCATTATGCTTATTGGGTACTTGGAGTCTTTTGGCCATGGTTCTGTCTAGAGTTCAAATGAGGAGGGCGGGTGTTGGGGCTCTTTTTGGTGCTTTACCTATACTCTCCATGGTAGTTCCTTTTTTTGGCCAGCCAGTTTATTTTTATGGTTAGGATCCTACGATAATAACACGAATTGGATAGCAAGAGACAAGGAACTACAATGGAGACTAGAAAGGGGTTGCGGTGTAGTTTAAACTATTTAGGTTGGCATAGCATTGCATGTTCGTAACACATCCCGGCTCCTTTGGGAAACGCTTGCCTTGCATCCTGAAACATCCCTCAAGCTTAACATCTGTAAAGCCGTCATGCTCGCTTGGATGGCACCTGTCTGTTGGGTGTCTGATCTGCCCAGTTGCCTCACAATGAACTTAGCCGATTTTCCGAAACTGTACACGATCAGACCCCCCTTTGTTGAGCCCTTTGCAGCTTTCCGCATGTGGAACTTGATGGTCCCCGCACGGAGCCCGTTTAGACCCCATGTAGAATGCTTGTAGAGTCCTCGTCGTGGGACTCTTGCATTTTTGTTGCTATTGCCCGTATGATCTTCTTAAGACTACTACAATTATGATTAAACTACAAATTAATAATACTTTTTTTTGGTTTTCCAATCTTAATAATTACCATGTGATTTTGTAGTGTCAATGTCAATAATAAGTGCCGTTTGTATCACCCATGCTGACAATTGCTATTGCTTTTACCGAGGTTGTATAGCCGCTGCGAACAATCTACCCACGTAGTGGATACTTTGGCCTTAAAGTACCCAGACCTTCCAAAACCCCATAATTAAGGAATATACCTTAAATGATATTGGGGATCCTACTATAATTTAAGGTATATTCCTTAATTAAGGGATTTTGGAAGGTCTGGGTAATCCCTATCTTGGTACGTTGGGGCCCAAGGAGATCCAAGGAATACATGGACCCTTAGGGCCTTTGGAACTGTATTGCTAAGACGGTTTTTCTGGTACTCTCAAGTAAAACCCTATGGAACCCTAGGGAATAGTATTACTAACTCGTCGAGTATACATATATGGGAGTTTCCGAAAATAGGGGACCCTAATCTAGTACCCTAAATTGTAGGATCCTTATTAAAAGGATCCCCAAATAAGGTACCCCCTATATTCGGAAACTCCCATCTAGCTGTTCATATCCAAAGCTAGGATGCCCAGTAGCAGCCTTATTCCCTTTTCGTAGTCCTAGGTTCCTTTTAAGTTACCCAATACCAAAAAGGGTGCCGTTTTTATTCCTACGGCTGATGATACAAATACTGCACGACCCATAATAAGGAATATCCCATAATTCCCATAGTTTCGGGTCCTTAACGTAATGCAGGATTTTTATCATCAGCCGTAATACCCTAAGGGTCCATGCACCCAAACAGACTCCTTTAAGGGTTCCTGTCAGGGTGCCATAATCGGGTTCCTTTAGGGCTCCTTAAAGGAATCCTTAGGGTTTATAGGGTTTAAGGGTCCATTTACCCAAGCAGTATATACTTTGGCCCCGAAGTTCTGGGCATCCTAGAAAATCTGCGAAGCCCAGGACTGCTGTCTCAAGAGGAGGCGGACGAAGAAGTGAATCAAATCTACGAGGACCCGATCAGATCTCCAAGAGCTGGGGACCTAAACCCGAATATAGGGGGGCCTTAACAAGTAGAATAGTTATACTATAGTTCTAATGAGGAACCCGAAGGAATAGTATTGGTTACAATTTAGGCTCCTATGTTACTTCTTTGGATTTCTCATTACCCATAGGCTGCATTGCAGTTCCTCGTTGGCATTACCTTCTAGGATCCTAAATTTGAACCACGAAAAGGAAGTACAATGGATCCTAAAATTATGAACTCCTCACACATAGACCCTTGAAAGTTAGGGCACTGTATTTGGGGTCAAGGTAAACTTTAGACCGTGGACATTTCATGTGATAAATCTGCTTCTTCACGAAGTTCCAGGGTCTACTTAGAGGTTCATGGTACTTAGTAACTAGGGTTCCTTAAAGGTCTCCTTATATACAGGGTTCCTTAATGGGATCTATAGGGTTTAGGGTTTAGGGTCTACTCAGAGGTTCATGGTCCATGGTATTAAGTAACTACGGTTATAAATAAGGTAACTATACTTCTAATTGGTTATATCCCCAGTTAAGGTACTTATATCTGTACATACTAAGTCCCATGAACCTCCAAGTAGACCCTAAACCCTAAACCCTATAGATCCCTTTTAAGGAACCCTATAGATCCCTTTAAGGAACCCCCAAGTATAGACGCACTAATCAGAAGCCTCAAGGGATGCCCCAAACTTCAAAGGCTCCATGGGGGCAGGCCTGCTTGCTGGAGGTAAACTCAACTTTTCAACTTTTCAACTTTTGGGCTTTAGGGTTTAGGGGGCTCTTATAAGTCAGTCGATTCTGAAAGCTTCAACTTTTATTTCTTTGGCTTTTGGGCCAGTGAGAGGGTTGAGGGAAGATTTGAAGGTTGCCGAAAGGGTCCTTCTTCGGGTTAGTGCGTGGGTCTGACGTTCAGGGTTTTATGGTTGAGGGCTTAGCGCTTAAGGAGTCGGGGTTTACAGGTTCTTCTATGGAGGGACCGTTCACAAAGCACTTCCTTATGACGAGCGAGTAATTGGGGGGGAGGAAAATTGGAAGAGCAATCGCATAAATGCAGCAAGAGGGACCCTAAACCCTCAAACCCTAACCCTAGGCCTTTAAATCCCTAAGCCTAATTACACCATGTCTCAGATCAGTTTGAGCTTAGTATATACGACTCCACCCTACAACACCTATGAAGAAACCTTAAACCCTGAACCCAGACCCCCTGAAGCGCCAAACCCTAGATGCTAAAATCCGAAACCCCGTTAAACCCTACTTTAGCAGAACCTACCTTTCTACTTTTTCGATGGGTGCATATAAAGTTCATGGTTGAGGTAAACCCTAAAAAGAGATCCAACTTCACCAGAGGTTTCATGCCCCTAGACCCTCAACCCCTCAACCACTAAACCCTTAAATCCTAAACCCCTGAAAACTTCTAACTGTTCGACAGTCGGAAACGAGCCCTCAAAAAACAAAAGAACTGAAAACCCTCAAAAGAGATCAGGAGTTTGATGCCGAGCATCGGTATTCCCAACTACAAGGACCCGGGCAAATCCCATGATTCGGCTTCGAGGGCCTTTGGGCCTCAAAAGGGTCCCTTAAAGTTAGAGCCGGGCTTCTTTAAAGGTAGGGTTACTGTAAGGAGTACTATGGGGGTTTAGGGCCTTTAAGGGTCAAGGATGCCTTTGGGGGTCCCTTAGAGGGTCCCCGCAAGAATCCAATTCGGGGTCCATTTATGTAAAGGGTCCCTTCTAGGGTTTCTTGGGTTTCAGTGGCGTGCGGCTACGCGAATCGTGGACCTTAAGCGCTAAACCTTCAACACGGAACTCCAACCCCTACGCCTAAACTACCCTACACCCTTTACCTCCCTCTTTCCTCTTCACGCGATGCCCCAAACCCTAAACTCCTAAAAGTGGGTAAAGTAATGGCCCAAAACCCATAAAAGGCGATTCTACATACTCTTAGGGTCCAGGAAACCCTACAGTAGAAGCCCAAAAGTTGGAAACCCAATAGCCTCAATCCTTAAGACTCAAATATAGGGAATCCAAGCACTATTTGGCCTTAATCCGGTTTCCAACTTTATGAGGCTTACTATAGGGGTTTGAAGCCCTTCAAAGGAATCTCTATGGGTTCCTTTAAGGGATCTCTAATAGGGTTTAGGGCTTAGGGTTTACCCTAAACTCCTAAAGGAACCTCTACGGCTCCAAGGGAGGCTTTAAGGGACCCTTAGAGCCGATCCTGAAGGGTGCAGGACGTTCCCAGAGATCCCATTACTCCTTCATTTAAGGAATATACCCGAGGGTTCCTTTAAAGGGATCTAGATCTATAAGGGGTCTATAGGGTTTAGGGGACTCCAATACCCGTTAAATTAGGAAACACACCTTAAACATTTGGGGGCTTAATACTATGATTTAACCCTGAGGGTCCAAGTACCTAATAATCATATACTCCCCTAAATATTGAGCTACATAACTACTATCCTAAACCCGAGTACCTAATTATTGGGTCCTTTGGAATTCTTAGGGTAAGGTATATTCCTTAATTTCAGGAGTATCTGGATCCTAAACATTTGGGGGCTTAATACTATGATCTAAACCCTAAACCCTAAACCCCTAAACCCTGATTCCTTAATTTCAGGAGTATCTGGATCTCCGGGTTGAATCCCCCAAAGCCCGAAACCCTTCGGGTTCCGGGCCTATAGGGTTTTGGGGTTTAGGGTTTAGTGGGGTTCAGGGTTTATAGGGTTTTAGGGGTTTCGGGTTTAGTGGGCTTCAGGGTTTAGGGTTGAGGGAAAATCTTGCGATGTCAAACTACGAGGCTCAGAGTACAGTAAATCAACACAAGCAGAAGTTTGGGAAGCATGATTGCTGTGAATACTTCTCCTTGAGTCCTTGTCATTGAAGGTCACACTTTGCCTTCTGTAAGTAAACTCTAAACCTCACCTAACCCCCCCCCCACTCACAGAAAAAGCATGTACACCCCAAACCCTAAATCCTAAACCCTCTACCTACAAACCCTAAATCCTCGATTCGACACCGGCAGGACCCTGCCCCCAGACGTGGCGGGTGAAGGAGCCAAGCACACGGCCGGTGTGCCTGGGCCGCATCTTCGTGGTGAAAGCGGCTGAACCGTAGAAGATAAAGGGATGCATACTATAGGGGGGGGGGGTTAAATAACTACCAAAACTATTTTGGGGGTTCCTTATTGTAATTCTAGCATAGTACTCCAAACCCTATTCTAATTATTAAGGCGCCTATAGTAGTAGCGGTGTGTGTGTGTGTGTGTGTCTCTTTCTTGTTCGTTGAGCGTAGTAGATATTATGTACGTATGTATGTATTTATGTATTTATGTATGTGTATATGTATGTATGTACGTATGTATGTATGTATGTATGTATGTATGTATGTATGCTTGTACATGTGTCTGAGTATTTACACACATATATGCACATGTATGTTAGTTTGTATATTCATACGCATGTATGATGTATATGACATGTATAAATACATAGCACCTACATCGGTGCTCTTCAAGTTTCCAAACAACTTCCAAAACAGCAAGTTCGGCTTCTGGCAGAAGTCCTAGTAGTGGATTGGTAACCTGTAACCTTTATTTTGGGTAGTATAGCCCCTATATAATCCCTATATGACCACAAAGGTTAACCTGTAGTCCCCCATGATACCGACAAGTAGGAAGTGAAGCCACAGAGTCGAGAACGCCTCAGTTAAGGAGTTTACCCAAAGGCCCCAAAGTAGTTCCTTTTGGGGGTTCGTATATAGAATCCTTATAAGTTAATCCCAACAAGGAACTACGAGGGGGCCTCTGGGCAAGGATCCCCCCCTAGAATTGCAGGGCAGGTGCCTTCCTGAACTAAGCCGGCAGAAGTGAGGTCCCTGTCAAGCCCCTGTTTTTAAAACCATATGCAAGCCCTTCAAACTCTGCGAAGCATCCTGTTGAAAGTCCCCCTCCAAGAAATGTGTAAACTTGTGTCAGAGCCCATACGAACCTTTGATGTTTAAGGCCAATATGAAGAAACAACAGCTTCATGAAACCGAGAGAAATCCTGACTGGAGGGGGCTTGGAAGTCTGTGTGAAGTTTGGCATACGCAGATCTCAGTGACCGGGCTCCCAGGGGCTTTCAGCGACTTACACGTTTTGGGTTCTGTAAGGGTTCCCTGAAGGGTCTTTAGTGCGTTAATTATAGAGATGCGATATGGGTTCTCGGTCTGATTTGAGTAGGTTTGATCGTGGTTCAACATGAGGGTTTGAGTGATCAGCAACAAGATCCCCGTAGATACCATGCCCGATGGTAAATTGAGTGCTAAAGTTCCGGAAACATGAACTCCACTCCTAAATCCTGAAGCCCTGTAAACCCTCAAGCCTAAATCCTCGCCCCCCAAAACCCTGAACCCTAAACCCCAAGCCCTCCAACCTAAAGCCAAACCACCAAACCATACTGCACAGACCAGAGGCCCACCCGTCCCCAGCTACCCAGACCTTCCAAAACCCCTTAATTAAGGAATATACCTTAAATGATCTTAGGGATCCTACTATAATTTAAGGTATATTCCTTAATTAAGGGGTTTTGGAAGGTCTGGGTACATCCCAAGTCGAAGCTAAGCCTGACCTAGAGGCTCCAAATAAAGTACCATTATGGAATTAGGCCCCCCAAAGCCATGATATGGATGGTCTTTTGGGACCTAATTCCATAATAATGGTACTATATTTGGAGCCTCTGGGTGACAGCGGACCACGACGCCCAAATGACAGGCTATGGCATTCCATGGAGCCCGCAGTTCACCCCGATCTAACCTACAACGATCGTACGTGAGTCATACCCATAGGCCCCAAAGTAGCTCCTTTTTGGGAATACCTTATAGGATTCTAAGTATGAGCCCCAAAAAGGAACGAATTTGGGGATTTAGGGTAAATAGACCCAAACACCTTCCGTAGCGTGGTTTCTGAGGCCAAGAGCACAAATATACAAACTAGGACCCAGAGTAGGCCCTTATTCCCTTTTTTTAGGGTTCAGGTTCCCTTATAACCGCCTTTAAACCAAAAAGGGCACCCTTTTTATTCCTAGGGTACTCTTGGGTCTAGCAAATGTTGGGTCCCTGAGACCCTTCCTTTGATTAAGATTCCCTGAAGAACCCCTTTCCCTAAGGGTCAACATGCTTAGCCAAATAGTATATATACTTTGGGCCCAATGTACCTATATAGGGACTACTTTATAAGGCCAAAGTATATTCTATTTGGGTACATGGACCCTTAAAGGCTTTGTTAAATAGCCCCTTATCAAAGCCCCCATGGTACTCGTCTCAAAACCCTTGCGAAAGCCTATGAAGTCCGCTGTAAGGGGCCCGTAGAGAAGCTAAGGAACATCACTGGCCTCCCTGTGTCTTGGCTGACGGCCATCGGGGAGGCAATGAAAGGAGACTTTGGGGTTAATTCCTTTTGCTCTAGGGCTTGGGTTAAGGGTTTGAGGTCTAGACTTAGACTAAATCTCATTTCGGGTTTATGGTTCAGGGGTTTGGGTTGAGGGCTTGAAGGGTGTGTCTAGAGTCCTTATGGGAAGGAGGTTTTCGGTGCAGGTCGTTGTGTTGTCCATTCGTTTGGGGCCGCGAGGCTTGTGAGTCTTGGTGCGTTTTGTCAAGAAGGCGTGACAAGTTTATTGGAATATGTAAACCTCGCTTTCTGCTAAGCTCACGGTGCTGTGCGTCTCGAACTCTTACTTTAAGAAAACACACCCCGAACAAGCCAAGACTTGTCATGCTCTTCCCTATACGAGCCATACCCCCCCCCTAATAATATGCCTTGCTGGGGGGGTTGTCACTATATGCCCGGCTGATTTAGGGACTCTCACCAGGCTCATTTGTGAGAGTGGGGGTGGGGGCAAAAAAAATGAGCCCCGGGGACTCATAACAGCTAGTACGAACCCTTGTATTTCTATTTATTTCTATTGGATGATATCGGATGCTACCAAATTGGCTATGAACAGTGCCTAGCCCGCTCCGATGCAGGCATTTTGCCTTGGAGGGCCCATGGGAGACACATCGCAAGCACATAGCAGACATAGCAGTCCAGCTTAGCAACCGATCTCTTAAGGCGTAGCCGTTCTTAGGATTTGGGATTAGCAAACCTCTTGAAAGATGCCTTGGGCAATCGCACGATGCGACCGCTCGCATCTGAAAGCGGGCCGCATGGATCGCCGCTGGGCAGCTTTCTATGGGGGTGAGCTGAGTGTAAGGCTTAGGCTGTGCATGCTCCGTCTTTGCATTTTTTTGCTATGCTAAGATGAATGGTACCACGATGGGCAAATGTTCCGGAGTTGGTCCGCTGCAGCGGAGTGGGCGTCGAAGAACGGAGTTGAGGTCCGTAATTAGTGCGGGGTAGAGCAGGCTAGGCTTGTTTCGGTCCTGGTCGATTGCCTGCCGACAGGATCCTCCTTGGCATACGGCCTACACCGAGGATCAGGATTGGGTCGGGGGGTTGTCGGACTTTGGGAGCTTGAGTGGTTTGGTTTGCGTTTATAATTGCAGGATCCGGTGCTTCTCGGCACCATTACACGGAAGAGGAGGAGGAAGCAGGCAGGGTTGTGGCTCCGGCTGGTGTCGGGTGTGTCCTTGCTTTGTGTAGCGGGTTCCTTGGATCAGGGTGCTTCTTCGGCTCCTCCGACTTCGAGTGCCGTGTGCTCAGCCTCCGAGAGTGATTGTGCGGTTACTGTTAATTACCCTAGGCCCTAAACCCCTAAAAGAGTGTAAACCCTTAAACACGTGAACCCTAAACCCTCCCAGGTCGCAGCGGCTTCGGATGCTCCTGAGACTTCTTCTGCTGGGCGCCTAGGAGTCACGGTTCTAAGTTGCCCAAACTGCATTGTGCCAGATGTGTATGGCATCTGGCAAAACGCATTTTGGCCGTAACTACTGCGCCAGAGTGGACTTGGCTAGATTTCCAGGGCATGAAACAACACCTCCTGCTGACCTTGGGTGAGGCCAGCTTGAGCGCACGGGCATCCACTGCTGACGCCTTGGGCTCAGCATGCCTGCGAGGGTTAGCCTGAAGAGTGAGCGATGGGCACTGTGAGAGTGCCCATCCGATCCTTCGTGGATCATTGCTGACACAGTCAGCTAGACTTGGGCACTGGGACAGGGCCCTTGTCTAGGCACACGGTCACCGTGACACGGCCCGTGTGCGGAAGTGTGCTCTCATTTAAGATCACCCGAGAAAATTCGGAACGACCGGCCAGCATCGGCCAGAGGTGGGCACTGTGACAGGGCCCACATAGGGAGCACACAGGCCCTGTGAGAGGGCTCCATGCAACATCACCGGTTGTGGTCCGAAGTAGATTTTTTTTCTCACGGATGAAGTTTGATGCGACTCCGAGGTGTTGGCGACCCCGCCGGCGCCCGGGCCGGAGGCACGTGCTGCGATGTTGCTTTGAGCCTGAAGTTGGAGCCGAGTCTAGGGACCCAAGCCAGTGGCGAGCTCTAGTAAGCAAGTTGCACCACATGCCGGGCAGCCCCAGCCCCAAATTATAGCAAGCCCCAGTTCTGGCTGCCAGGAAGCCCCACCCGTGGCGGCCACAGCCGAGGCGGGTGAGAGTTTGCTTTGGAGTGAGTTTGCAGGGGGGTTCTCTTTGGCAGGATACCAGCATGGCTCAGCGGGACGAGGTGGGATATGATTCCTGGGTAAGCCTCGGTACCTTGTTTGATTTGGAGCCTTGTACTCTCGGAGGATGTGGTTCCGGCCGCGACATCGATCGAGGTTGGCTTCTTCCCATTGCTTTGTGATCTTAGCTGGATTGTTGTTCGTGCTAGGATGCTCCACCCTTGGTGGCCACAGCCGAGGCGGGTGACAGTTTGTTGCGGTGTGGGAATGCAGACGTGGGTTGCTGATGGCAGGAGTCCAGGATGTCTCAGCGGGACGAGGTGGGATAGGATTGCTGGGTAAGCCTTGGTACCTTGTTTGCTTTAGAGCCCTGAACTCTCGGAGGTTGTGGGTTCGGCCGCGACATGGACCGAGGCCGGCACGAGTGGATTGCTTCGTGATCTTTGGTGGATTGGATTTTGAATGATTTCGGAGTCACTGATGGCAGGATTCGGCAGTGGCTGGGAGGCAGCAGCCACAGGACGGGTCTTTCGGCAGCTTGTTTCTCTTTTGCAGTGGGGCTTCTCGGAGGAGCCGGCTCCAATCGTGGCATCGACCGAGGCTGGCACGAGTGCATTGCAAGGGTTGTGGCCATGCCTTCAGCGATGTTTGTAAGATACATGTGGGCACTGCGACAGGCCCTCGGGACATCAGTTCGTGGGAAGAAGGCAGGAATCCCAGATTCATTTGAGTTCGATTGATTGGTTCGGGTCGTGGCCATTTGCGGCAGGACATGGACGGCAGGGCATGCGGGCACACCTCGACGGAGGCCTGCTTCGCACTGTGGCTTGTTGCCAAGAGCATGATGTGGCTGGCATGACATGTCATGAGAGTCGGCGCATCTCTGCTGCAGGCGAGGGTCCAAGATTGCATTGATTTTGCATTGCATGGCAGATCACGGCAGTGGGCATTGCAGCCAGCATCAGGCAGCACATCAGGCAGCGCACAGGCTAGGGCGATTTTAAGAGGTTACTCACTCTACCACTGCTTTAATCTTGAACCCTAACCCCCGACAAAGCTTGAAAGCTCCTGAACCCTTATGAAACCCTGAACCTTAAGCCAGCTGGCCTCGGGATGTCGGACTGGTGGCAGGGATGGCGTGGAGATGCCTCCGAGTGGCAATATGGCTCGTGGACCAGCCATGAGGAGCAGCCCACGAAGGGTGGTGGGAACCCCTCCGAGTGGCAATATGGCTCGTGGACGGGCTATGAGGAGCAGCCCACGAAGGGTGGTGGGAACCGCCAGATGAGTGGTGGCAAAGGCGCCACGGCTGGCCAGATGAAAGGTGGCAAAGGCGCCACTGCTGGCAAAAAGGGTGGCAAAGGCGCCGCTGCTGGCAAAAAGGGCGGAAAAGGCGCTACTGCTGGCAAAAAGAGCGGAGGTGCCAGCGGCTCGAGTTCGAAGACGAAAGCCAAGAAGACCGCCATGAAGAAAGACCCGATGAAGAAGCATGGCGGAAGGACTCAGCTCGAGCGCGAAGCAATTCGCTCGACGCTGCTGGCCAAGGTGAAGAATGTCCAGGCGACGTTGGACAGTCAGGTTCGGGAGAACGTCACCTTGGAGGAGAAGCTGAAGCAGGTGGTGGTGACCTTGGACGAGCAGAAGGATGAGATCAAGGACTCGTGGGCTCTAGTGAACGGATATCCCTGAGCTCTTGTCGTGCACGGTTGGCTCCGAAACTACAAAGGGCCAATCTCCATCTTTTCTCAGGACCTGAAGCACAAGCTGAGCATCCACAAGGGCATCGCGGCAGGCGCCGAGGAGCGCCACAAGCTCCTGGAGCAGCGATACCAGGAGCACACACACTCCTTTGTTGCTATCTTCTGCAATTTGTTTGCTATTCTCGGGGAAGTTTGTACAGGACAACCTGAAAGCCTGGACCACCATGAAGAAGGCCAAGCCGCTGTCGTGATCGGAGCTGGGCTGCATCGTGGGGCGTTCTGTGGCATTCTTCTTGACAGGAGTTGGAGGGGCAGATCAGCAGGTTGCAGCGAGAGCTGAACGGGACGGCCGACTACAAGGCCATGCTCAGCAGCTCCATCGAGGAGAAGAAGGCCGTCCTAGCACGTGCTTCGTACATCTTCGTACTTGTTCATCCTGCTTGATCCTGCCTGTCAGGGGCTGATGGAGCAAATCCGAACCCTCGAACAGGTTCGCTCGGAATCCCTGAGCTTCAAGGACAAGACTGCACACGGCCATACGGTTGGCTCCATATCGACTTGTCTGCCTGCAGGAAATCGCTTTCTTGAAGCGACGAGCGGCTCGCGCTGATGAGGTGGAGGCACCGGTCTTAGGTCCTGTCTTGTCTGAGTCGAACTATCGGACTTTGCAGGCTGAGCTCCAGCAGCTGCGGGAGAGCCAGACGACTCCCAAGGTCGAGAACCGGCCAGTGCCTAGCCTGCGTTGCTTGAGCTGGAGATAGCTGGAGTAAGGCCGGCTCGAGTGTCCCATCTCAGGCTGTGGCAGTGCCGCTGCGGTCGACATCGGAGCCGAAGAGATCGCCGTTCTCGCCCATTCCCGTGAGGAAGACGGAGGCCCTTACTTTCTTTTGACAGGCTTCTGGAAACCCTACATTCCGGGCTGACTGCTTGAGACACACAGTGTCCGCAGGCTGGCACAGGGGGGCGGTCTGGCTCCAGCCGCTGAGCCACCAGGTCCAGGGTATGATCCAGGTGAGGCCAGAGGTAGAGCAGCCACAGACACAGCATCAACAACAGCAGCAGCAGCAGCAGCAGCAGCATCTCAGCAGCAACAGCAACAGCCACAGCATCAGCC